GGTTTACACTTAAGCGGCGAGGAGCTGTGTGTACAAAGAGATAGTGCTGTGATAAGCTCCGCGGGTGGCCGTAGTGCAATTTAATAGGCACTAGCTGACTGTTTAATTGGATTAAAGATAAGCGATAAAGTCGATGTTACTCCTTCTGTTCTATTTTCTCTATGGTTGGATGATTCTCAAAATTCATTCAAATGCAATTTCAAAAAGAAAACATACAAATACGGTATTGGTTTATTTACTGTAGCTAAGTTTAGACTTACACTAGCATCGGATCCACTGGAGGGTTCAGTAAGGCAAAATGCGGCGATCTCATCTCCAACAGCCAACTTGGGCAGGTACTTAGCCTTCTGCTCTGGGTTACCAAACAACAAGATTCCCTTAAATCCAATCGACTGGTGGGCTCCTAACGTTATACCGATTCCCAGGTCATATTCTCCTACTATTTCCACTATTCGAGCATACTATTGAAAATACAATAATCAACATACAATTTATACTAGAGAAGTCCCTCCATACAGTCCATACCTCCGCCCTGTGCGTGATTACACCAACAATACGCGGGCCGTGTATGATGGACGAAACTGCAGCATACCCTCAATAAAATAATGGAATTGCTTGTCATATTTAGGCACATTATTTTCTTGAGTGCTGCAACCTACCCTCAAGAAATTAATGGAATCCCATACCGTATTCAGGCACATTGTTTTCTTGAGTGCTGCCTGAATGCGAGGGGCAATTCCATTATTTTCTTTTATGCTCAAGGGTACAAAATTAAAATTCTGCAACCTTTTCCTTGTCCTTTGACCTTTTCTTACGAAAACTGAAAGGTGTCTTTCTTTGATTATTATGTATGATTCTACTAAATTTTATGATGACACATTTATTAGTTTTTGCGTAATTTTGCTTAAAACCAAACAGACAGATACACAGTGAATACATAACCTACTTGGTGGAGGTAAATAGTGAAAATAAACAAAAAAACATTTGGATACACTGTGATTTGCTTAGAAATGTTATTACAGATTACATTTAACATGGTTTTACCTGTGTATTTGTCAGTCCTAAACCATGGTGTTCTGTAGAAACCTGAAGTCCAAAAGCTCCCATTTCTTTCAAGCCTTTCATTGTGTTCTCTTCAATGGCTGCCATATTATCATTCTTATTAGCATCATTTACTTCCTAGAAAACACAATTTATGAGCTTTCAAATAATTACAACGAATCAAAATTACAACAAACAAAGTTAAGTTAAAACTGGTTCAAAATTTCTTTCATTATGAGGCACAAATAAAAAAAATAAAAACATGAATACAAAAGGAAATTAAAAAACTCAACATACAAAAGTACACAAATCTCTACATCCTGGTTCGAAGTACAGTTATTATATAAACTAGAGCAGATAAATCACATACAAATCTCATGCCTATATTAATAAGTACACATTATGTATTCAAGATTTTAATGGTATATCTAGGCCTGTATCATCATATAAAATTAAATGAAAACAAACCTCAAAAAACTTTGTTACTGGATCAATATACATTTCAATTGCTTCTCTTTGTTCTGTTGTTAGTGCTAAAAAAAATAATATTCATAATACATAACATTTATTCAATTTAGTATTGGAGGCATTAAAATAACTATTATTGCTTTCAAAAACTCAATATACCGTAGTATTCTCCTGATCAGCCACAGAAATACTGTAGCATAAAAAAAAATCTTTTATCAATGGAACAATTCTACCAAGTTTCGTTTGTTTGTTACTGTTTCAAGCATGCTCATATTTGATCTTCTGTTTTACATTGCAAAGCCATGAGTCAAAATAATTCTGACATGACATTATTCTGCCTATAGGGGCATGATGATGCCATACGATATCATACCACATGTTACCGGCTCTGGCAAATTCCCTCCGTTTGTAGAAAAAAAAATACTTGATTGAGATTTTGGTGTTTTCAAATTCTATTACCAAAGTTATGAATATTTATTTCATTGGATATCAGGCATGTAGGTTTTGAGAAAATAGCTTCCAAAATCAATAGTTTATTATTAAGATTTGTATTTAAAAAATAATTTTAATATACTTTTCATTTAGATTTAGTGATTGATATTTGTAGAAATGTTCTTCTTTTATAAAAAGCAAAAACATGAAATTTTCAAAATTCTGGCTCTCAAAACGTTTTGGGTGCTTGTGGGAAATTAGAAATTGCGACAAATGGAGGGTTTTGCCAGAGCGGTCACATATTTAGAATGTCACAGGTACTTGTCACATAAAATTTGTTAGTGCGGACAGAGCTTTAGGTAGCACTGAATGTGACTAAATGATAAAAGTGACCAAGAAGAATGCAAACACCTTTTTGTAGTACAATAAAGTAAAATTCATTTTAGCTGTTGTTCATTCCATACCGTGTATGTTAAACAATGACTACTCAGTACTGTAAAAAATTAATACATGTAAAAAACAGAATACGATAAATATGTATTGAAAATGGTAAGAATGAAATTATTGGTGGTAGATGGTAGTAAACTCTAGTTTATGTCAATTTGAATAGACTTAAAAATGTTAAAGTACTACTATGCACTCTTTAACCTACTGACTGACCTCAACCCTGACTTTCCCCTCCCCAAAGACAATATGTGCAGAAAAAAACATGTACTCACCATTTGGAAAAGGAAAAACTTGTTCAGGATTGATTTGGCCACAAAACAGACCCATAGCAAATGATCTTGATTCCTACAACATAGTGAAATAGTAAAATATTTTTAGCAAGAGAACTTCAAAAATTTTCTATTTGTTTTTAAATGGAGAAATGTTGACACCCCCACACCCCTGCAGCCTACGCCCATGACTTGGATCACCATACACTGACACAAGTTCGACTTAATTTTTAAAATTTTTATTACCTTTTGAGGTTGGACATCATGAGCCGCTGTCTCCGCAACAGTTGACTTGCCACGCTGATGTTGTGAACTCACCAACAAAGACCTCAAGAAAAAAAAAACACGAAAAAGAATTTAATATCAAATAATGTTCAAAAATAACATAAACGCATGGCATAAGACGCAGAATGGCAACTAATTATGAACTAAGGAAGGTCAGTATAGTATACAGGAAGATGACCAGTTTCAAGACTGATACAGGTTTAAAGGGATTTGGAATAAAGAGTTTGTCAGTCATCAAAGAATAACAACTGCAAAATATTATTTACTAAATGAATTTAATAATTAATAATATTATTATTAATATTATTATAATTATTTATATATCGTTATCATATTATATATATATATATATACTGTCTCTTATACACATCTCTGTGTGTTGTAGAACTGTTTTGATCGTTAATAAACCAAACACAATATGGATGTTAACTTACTAATGCCAAAGCAAGTGACACTAGCTCACATAGCCAGACAATGTCATGTTGATGACATTGACAAAAGCTCGCAGTAAGTTAACGTCCATTGTGTTTTGTTTAACAACAATCAAAACAGGTCTACAATAATGTTTTTGTTTTTAAAAATTTGAAGCCTTTATTTTCAGTTTTGCAATGGTTTTGAAAATGACAAATGTTAAATGTTATAGTATGAGCATTTTTACAAGTTTCAAGTCATTCCTACAATTTTCTACCTGCCGAAGGGTCTAATTATCAAATCAAAGTATGATTTGGGTAGATCCAAACTATAGATTATTTTTACAGACTTTCGAAATTCCAATTTCCAGAAAATTTAGGGAGATTATAGTACAATAACAATATTTGCTTGTTCTTACTTTTTTAATGAAATCAATTAGCCTGAAGTATCTAAATATTGATTTTTATTTTCTTCTTTCTATTTTTTTTTATTTTGCTCACCAGACAGGCATGCTTGAAACAAAATATTAAGTAGTTTCATATAACCAGCATATACTGTAGGCCAAATTTACAATCAATTGGTATGTCAAATTCATTATACTATAATTTTCTTTAGTTCAACAGTGACCATCTTGAAACAAAAAAATTAAGTAATTTTTTAACACCAGCATACAGAAGCCTAACCTATATATTCACAATGAATTAAACTGGTACATTCTGACAAGTATAAATTGTACTGGTACACCAGGCCAACCGTAACATACCATCACAAATAATGGAATGAAAATAATAATGCATTCCATTATCTTTACTTGCAATTTAATATGCCTTATATTTAAGTTGATCACATATGATTAAGTTTACAAAAGTAATGCTCCTCCTAAGAATAATTTTGGTAAAGATGATACATAAAAAAAATAAATGAAACTTTGGCTCTTTAAAATTAATATTAGCTCAGTTGTAATGAGTAGAATACAGGATCTGATGGTTTGAATCCTTCATGCAAATTATTCTTAACAATAAGTCATTTCAAACTCAATCTAAATGATCAATAGCCTGTGTACTGTAGTTCGCTTAAATCATGGAGAATAATTACCATCTAACTATTTATAATTGACAATGGATTTATTTAATTTCAACAATGTTTTAATTCAATTGAAAAAAGATAAAGCATTAAACTATAACTTTAAAATTAAAACAGTCAATAACAACAATGCAATATATACATTATTACCATTTCATATTTCTAAATTTCATTTCATTTATGAATCAACAAAATACTGTACAAAAAATCAATACTGCTAACATGAAAGATTAAAAAATAGCCGACAGAAGCAAAATACAAGGAAGACAATCATACTAGAAAAAAAAAGGTATTGTAATTTTACATTTCATTACGAAATAATTATTTATAAAATATGGAATATATAATTAATTATAAAATTCAAGTACTGTACTAGGCCCCCTACATAGTGTGTACATACAAATTATTACTATATAGGGCTAGTGTTCTACTTGGAGGACTAGTACAGCCTAATGTACTACTAGCCCCATATGATAGGGAGTAAATAAAATAAATAAATAACCATCAATAAATCAAATAGGCCCCAGAACACAGCTAGCTAGGCCTACTACAGTATGTGTCAGTATGTCACAATATTTAAAAATTAAATTTGAAAAAAAAGAATGGAAACTAAAAAATATAATTGTCTTCCTAAATAAAAACTTGCACATCCAATTCCAAATACGGCATCATTTAGGCCTGCTCTTGTACAGATTGTCAATAGGCCAAGCCTAGGCCTAGTTGTTGACTATGAATGCTTGCAATTTCAGACCTGCTGGCCTAGGCCCCAGTAAAAGGTCGAGCCCTACCTAGCCTAGGCCTCCTAGGTAGAAATTAATACCAGTTTGGCCAGTTAAACAAAAACTCTTCCTTACCTCTGAGTAACCTTACTAAGTGCCAAATTCCTCTGGCTTACGAAAGCAAATATTCTACTACACCGCATCATTTTGTTAAATTATAATTTTAAGTAATGTAGGCCTAAATAGAACTTAAAAACACATTCACTGAGTGAGCAGAATCTGTAAGCCAAGTAATCAGCCAGTGTGTGTAATCGCTCTGGTGAGTGACAGAATCGTCGTGACAAAACAATGCGCAATCAGTGTGGTGAGTGGGCTTATGTGTGTGTGCGCGAGCCACCCGGTCTCTTGTGTGTGGAAGGCCAGGGCAGATTAACTTGATTGTGATGATGTAATCATTGTGACGTAAAATCTGGCCTGGTTTTATGCTAGGCCTAGGCCTATTCACAATAAACACTAAGTTCTGGTGTAGGCCAGACCTCCCTCCTCCCACCACTGTATCAGTAGAGTATGCCTGAAGACGACTAGCTACAAAAGCCAGCCTAGACCTTCGTAAATTGGTAAAAATCATATTCTTTGGTAAAAATACTATACATGGCACAAGCAAGGACTTTAACAATCTGTGAGATGTTAGTCTACATAGCACTATCCAATGAATCTGTTCTAGTTTGTATTCACCGACGCTGATTGGTGTATATACTATGAGAGTAAGATTATACACGTTTCATATAATAATTTCCTACACCAAACACGGAAGTATGGCGGAAAGTTAAAATAGGGTTGACAAACTTCGTTTGGTGCTGGCGTGGAGGCCTAAATACTAATTGATTTAATCACAAAAGTTACCAACAGATGTAAGCTATTCATTTAATAGTCTTTATTTGCAGAGTGTAAGTTAGTAATTTTTTTCTCTTCATATGTTTTCGAACTAGGCTAGCCTAGCCAATGAAAAGAGTGTCCCAGTGTCGGAAATTATAATAATTTAGCTTGCTCTTCCCTGTTCTGGAGAAGTCGTAACATCAAGGCTAGCCTAGGCCTAGTTATGCGATAATAATATTGGCTTGCCATAACAATGCATAACTGGAAATAAAGTTTGGTAGATAAGAAATAGATTTTCAGTATCTAGGTTTATGTGATAAACTTCACATATCGTCATATGCCTCCTGTTTGGATGGGATGGTCTAAGTCAATCAAGACAGCAGTTGTACAATTAAATCATTTTATTTTAATTAAGATGATGATGATGATAAAGATATGAACTTAAAAATAAACACTTGTTACAGACAAGTTTCATTTCATCATTTCGTTTATATATTAGTCCTTTATATTTTGCCATCTTATTATAAATAACATTTATCATTTCATTTTATTTTATCAATAAAATAAACTTAAAATAAAAAAAACACTTGTGTTGTCGTCAGAGATCGACACATCCTTTTGAAATCTAGGCATGAGAAACTGAGATACACAACTGAGTTGAGCCATGGAGGAAATACTCAATGGATGAGCTCAGTTCCTAAGCTAAGGCGAGACTTTTTTTAATTCCTTGTTACGCATACTTATTTTTTTAAAGATCGTCGGATCAAGGGCAGACTAAAATTAAAAATATAATTTTGTTTTCTTATTTAGCAAATAGTTTAGCCAAAATCATCCAGACGGAGGAGAACGTATTAAAAAATAGAATTTTATTGGTGAATGTAAAACAGGATGGTTAAATGCTTCAAATTTATATAATTAGGAAGAAATCCATATCTTACTTTGGAGATTTCAAGGCAGCTGAGGGCGTAATAAAAATAAACCAAAAAAATTATTTTTTTTCTGAAATTACCACCAGCGGGTATGCTAATTGGCCAAAAAAAATTGAAATTACCGGCGGGTATGCTAATTGGCCAAAAATAACATTTTATTTTTTTTCGAAATCATCAATATTTGCAGTTGGTGGGTTTGCTAAACAAGGTATAAACAAAGTCTGGCCTAACATTTCATGCAGCCTGGTCAGTGGTAGGAAATTGTTTGTTTACACAACAGGAGTGCTGATAAGGAAATGTGCAACCAGAAATTAACAGTGCCAAATGGATTGTATATAATGTATATTATTATAAGTCATCACTGTAACTCCCAATGTTATTTGCCTATTCCCCAGCGTCCAATAATTTTTTTATTATTGGACGCTCGGCTTGATTTTTTTAAGGTCCGTGTGCAAAAAAAAAAAATTCCTAATTTTTTCGTCACCACCGCGAATACATCGCGCACCGCGATAAAAATTGAATTGTTGAAAATTACTTTCGTAAAACAAGCTTGGTTAGAACCCGAAGGAAGTTACTTCGAATTCAATATTAAGTATAAACAATTAAGGAATTCATTGAATCAATGGACCCTCATAAACACAACAAACTGAACGTTTAATAGAAATATTCTAGACCTATTTTAAAGACTCAAGGAACAAATTTTTTCAAGCATTAAATCTAACCTTCGTACAATCATTTTCCTATAGTGTACTATGCGGAGCTCTACTAATTGCTTATTATGTGGATTAAAGGTACTGGTATCTAAAATCGGTAAATAGTACATCAATTTTCAAGTATAAAAAACTATATTAATGGTGTTTTAAAGCTAAAAACATCTATTTAAAAAACAATGGTAAGGTTGAATATATGAAGAAAAATAAGTAGTTATCATTCTCTCTATTAGATAGGAAAAGTGATGAGGGAGGGAGGGTTTTTATTTTGCTAAAGCCAAGTGTTACCCTTGGGTTGTTTGCGCATTGATATTCAAAGTAAAATGCATGATTACATAATACAAGCAATATCTACTATTTACTATAAAGGAAAAGGAAAAAAAAATCAATGCTTTTTTCCCTAATACTATAAAAAGATATGTGGGCGGGGATGATAAACTAATCATATTTTTTTTATTGGGGGAAAGTTTTCAATTAATGTGAAAATTACTATAGCCAAGAGTTCTTAATAATAATTCATGAAATAAGTAACTACGCAATGAAAAATTAACAGTGGAATAGATAAACAAATGGATTCACTAAACAAGGTTTGCTAAGGACACATACAGTAGAAAAAATTATTAGCACCTCCACCTGCATCAAAAATTTGCGAAATATTGATGCGGGAATAAGAAAAACAATTTTTTGTGCTGTGTTTTTCTTTATATTATATTATTTTGTATTAATAGCATCATGATCCACAAGTATTGGTAAGGCCACCGTGCATACTCTGCAATTAAAAAGAAAGCAATATCTGTTCGTTCCAAAAAGAGAAACAGTAATAAAAAGAAAAAACAAACAAAACAAAACAAAAAAACAACTAAAAAAATTAAAAATCCGCCCGCCCGCATCACTTAAAAAATAAAAACTAGTAATAATCTAATAATTTTTTCTATGTGTCCTAAACAAGGAATAAAAAAAAGTCTTGCCTAATAATAAATAATAATAATAATAAATAATAATACCTGTAATAATAAATTTTCCCTCCGTTTTCCATTGAAATTGTTAAAAGGAGGTAATAGTTCCCTACCCACCGTCTTCCTCAATGATTTGCTGTTTTCAATTTAATTTTTTATTTTTATGTATATTTTTAATGTTTCTTTTTCAATTTTTAAAAGCTTTTTAATGCTGTCTGTGTTTTGATTCATTTTCACTGTTTAATGTTTGATGTTTTCCTAAATGTTTGATTACAATTTTTTAGATGTTTTTTTTTATTCATTTTCACTTTTTAATGTTTTTCTAAATGTTTAATTACAATTTTTAGAATTAATGAAGATTTAGAAGTAATGAATTAATGTTTGCATTTATAGTTAATTGTCTTTATTGTAAATATCGTGCAATTTAGCCCTTGGGCTGCGATATTTTGATGTGTTTTCTTGAATTTGAATGTATCAAATAAATCAATCAATAGGTCTTAAAATAATACAACAGTTTTTAAAATTAAACAACTATATTGATGTTGATGTCATGGATTTTAGTCTTGTAGTTACCATGTGGACATAGACATAATATAGCAATAATAATAATAATAATAATAATAATAATAATAATAATAATAATAATAATAATAATAATAATAATAATAATAATAATAAATAAAAAAAATAAAAAAATGAATAATATAACCTAATAATAATAATGATAATAATAATTATAATAAAAATTAATGAAAATATCAGACTCATCTTCTCATTAAAATCATAGAGAAGAAAATATAAATTAACATCCTTATAATACAATAAAATTGTCTCAATACATAAACAGAATACAACACATATGAAACAAAGGACAGAAAAGAGGAACAAAATAATACAGAAAAACAACTATAAAAATACAATAGAAAGATACTATTGGACAGAAACAATCTGCAAAAACATAGGAAAACGGTATTGATAGAAGGGAAAAACAAAACAGGTGCTTTCTCTGCTAATGCAGGAAAGGAAGGAAATGCAAAACATAGTATAAAAGATATTGTACAGATCGATACTGACTATTAAACTGACCCTGATTATTTTCTATTATCACTGTGTTTGGTCTAATTATGAAGAGCACTATAAAGATGATGAAACAATATGTGGCAAAGACAAGCCAAACCAGTAAGGTACAGTACTCCTCACAAACATTTATTTTCAATTATTTGAATACAGAGTTACAGTACCATAAGCAGTGAAATGAAAGTTATAAAATGGTAGAAGAATCATTTAAATCTGACGTTTTGTTACATGAAGTTACACTGAATTTAAAGAACAGCATTTGAGAAATCGGTCTTCAAAGTTTACAATTTTAGCCACTTCTCAGGCAGAGACCATCACCTGATAGTTAAAAAATTTTGTTTTAATTTTAAAAATGGGAAAATTACAACATAGCAAGTTAGTTTAGTGTGATAAAATAGATTTTAAAAGTTTTGACATTCAACATGCATTGACCATTATCTCCGAAACATGATTTGCGAGGTGTGACTAGTTTGGCTTTTCTATACCACATATATTACCGCTGTATGTTTCCCTCTTTTCCAGACACAATTTGAAAAGAAGTAATGGCTCACAATAAAGGCGTGCAAGGTTGCAAGTGGTACCATGGTGCTATAAATAGAATGGTTGCTGAAGCTTTATTGATTGAGGATTCACGCGATGGAAGCTTTCTCGTTCGCGATAGTGAAAATATCAAAGGTGCTTTTGCATTGTCTGTCCTGTAAGTCACCTTTCAATTGTTAATTACAATGTGCCTAGAAGTACCATACCATATGCTATCTTGGTAAAGATAGGGGACAACTCACCATTACCGAGATAGCGTACAGTATAGTACGATACCGTATTCCTAGCCACTGCCTAATTATAGTCTCTAATACAGACTGTCTATTTAGTATTACACAAACTATACATAACCATGGAGTCATGATATAACCGCTATTAGTTCTATGATACACACAGTGATAATATTTAAAAAATAATGCTTGTAATAGTATACATGTATTAACCTAAACCTTTAACATTTAATTTCTTTTCCTTGTATTTTAGCCATGATCATCGTATTTCACAGTATAGAATTATTCCTGCCCCTGAAGGACCAGGCTTCTTAATGAAGGTAAGTGCTGTACTGTACTGTTAATTCACCTATTCTCCACATTTAAATTCCGGATCTGCTCTTGTTATAACCTTTGGTGTATCTGGAAGAATACTGAACCAGTTTTAAATAGGTGTTGGTGTAGGCTGTTGGTGGTGGCAGGTTGGGGGCTGGGGCGGCAGCATATTATTAGTGGGTTGTAATAGTAAATGTGACCTTGAAGTTTTCATTAGGATAGTAATTTAGTTCCACATTCTGAATTTCCACATCCCACAGGCCTAAACCAGCCTTCATGTTTTTCTTCTTCATTAAATTTTTGTCCGTTTCTTTCTTTTTTCGTTGGGATTACTTGCATTGTAATTTGGAGGCAGTGCCGCCGTGATTATCTCCCTATGGATGATAGATACGTGTGCCATATAAATCTACAATTAACCCTGAAAAAAAAATCGCCTCCAGCCATGAAAATTACTGTATGAAACTAGCAAGAAGTGATCTGTACTCTATTTATAGCTGAACAGTAATTGTCTGGAGACAAATTAAGAAAAAGCAAACATTTTTTTTTTGTTCCAGTCAACCACTACATAAATATAGCCAACTGCACACTAGCCCAACACCTCTGGTCTGCCAATCTTGCTGCCTCTTGTGTGTGTTTATTCATGTATACAGTTCTTTAGTATCTTTAGTAATTCCTGTATCTTCTCTGTTGGAGCTTTACAAATTTTAATTTAATATTTATATTGATTTTAATTGGTTATACAATTTGTTCATATTTATTTTCTTTGTTATTGCATTGTTTTTAATTTTAATATTACAGTCTTCTGAAGGAATAAAGCAGCACAGGTTTTCAAACCTTGTTGAGTTGATAAACAGCTACAAAATCGCAACCAATGGGCTCGTCTGCACTTTGAAACACCCAGTAGAGGCTAAGAAACAAATAGAAGAGGATGCTGAGACAGGCAAGTTTATCTATCTAATTAGCAAGACTTTTTTTATACCTTGTTTTTCGCGAACTAATTTTTTTAAAGATTGTCAGAGGAGGGCGGAAAAAAAAGAAAAAAAAAATTTTGTTTTCTTATTTAGCAAGTTTTGCCAAAAACATCCAGGCAGGAGTAATAAAAACAAAGAAAAGATTTTTTTTTTTTTTTTTTTTTAATTTCCATTTTTTCGTGGTGGTGGATGTGTTAATTAGCCAAAATACAAATTTAATTTTATTCCAAATCATCATTATTGACGGGCAGCAGGTTCGCTAAGCAAGGTTTAAAGAAAGTCTTGCCTTACTCAGTGTTTCTGGAATAAGGCTGTATTTAAAGGCCCATTCCCGGCAAAATTTCACTAAAAACCTCGTTTTGAATAACTGATGATGAAAAACTTTAAAAAAATTGAAATATATAAAAAAACATTTACAAATAACATTCCAAATATTAAAGATAACAATAGGGACTGTGGTCCCCATCAGGATACATTTTAGCTTTAACAGATGCTTTAGAAATGTTATTTATTGTCTATCATTATTCTGAATGAGCAGGGTTGCGTGTGTATGTCTCAGTGTACTGCCCAATCCTGAACCAGAGGTGGTACTATACTGGGGCTGCATGTAAGTCTCAATAGGCCTAACCATGGCCCAACCTATGTCTCCTATTTACGCAACCAGAACTTGAATTCTGAACCTATTGTTCAATACCTTTGTGACATGACCCAATTTTCTGTTCATGTTAACAGTAACTTTAATCCATAGTTGGCATTCTTCCAAATCATTTCTTTAAGATGTCATTGAATTTACAATACAAAACAAAATTCCTCGTGGGAATATTTAAAAAAATAGGCTCCCAGCAAGAGCCTATATTTGAACTATTCATTCAAAATATACCCTGGGGCTTTTGGTTGGGAAAATACTGGTATGTGATATCGGACATGATTTATTGGTTGGTAATGCGAAACGGAATACTATTTAAACAAATTTATGATTAGAACATTGGTATTATTTTTTGAAATAAAAAAAAAATTAGGGAAAGTAAATTACAGAGAATTATGCCTGAGAGTGCTATTTTTGGTCATCTAGAGTTGCCATAATTATAAGGTTTTGTGTGTTAGCCCCAGCAATGGTGAGGCTGAGGTAGTCTATCTGTTGAAGTCCCTCCTTCAGCTCCCTCTATTTCAAATTCCCGAATCTGCCACTGTTTTCGGTTTATGTAAATTTATGAAAAAAATAACAAATTGATTTTTAATCAGATTGTTTTCTTTTATTATATTTAATTTATTTATCATTTGTTATTGTTTTTGTTTAGTTTATTTTATTTCAATCTCACTCAGCAGTGGGTAGCCTGCCACTTACAGAATTGATTGAACATAAGAAAATTAATACTCTATTGAATGAGGCAGAAATTCTTAAGCTAGGCTCTCACTGTGCCGTCGATCAGCAGACGGCCCCACCTCCTCTTGCTGGAGTTGGATCCGTCATGCAACCCAGTGGTTGCCCGGCTTCACATAAAGCAAATGTAAATTTTTGCTGTCGTAGATGACGATGATGATGATGAGCATTTGGACCATGTCAGCCAGTTCCTGGAAAGCCAGATAGAAAACATGAACCAAGTTGGGCTGGAGAGAGACTTCTTGGAGGCCCTGAGGAACTATGCAGTCAAGGGTAGTGTCCAAGATGCTGAAGCTGTAAAATCAGGTAGCTCTTCATTGCCACAACTCACTCAGCTGTTACATGCAACAAGCAAAGATTTTGTTAAGTAAGTAATAAAAAAATGCTTCTTTTAGAATCAGAGTTTATGTTATGTTTATGTGTCACGATGTAGAGAAAATACAAGGTGCTGGCATCATCATTTCCCTATTCGCTTTTTACGGAGTTGATAAACTGGCACATTTTGTGCTACTTCCTCTGCTTTCTGGGGAGTATAGTCATGCTGCTTTACACACACAACTCGTACGTTCAATGCCATACCATCCTAGGTATTTATTTTAATACTCCTGGGTTGAGAGCGGCAAATGCAAGTAAAGTGCCTTGCCCAAGGACACAAAAAAATGCGATGAGCATCGGTCTCGATCTCCTGATCTCATGATCAGAATTTAAACACCTTAAAATGCCACACGCTTCTACTAATTTTACAAAATACTTTTTTGAGTAAAATCTTAATTTCCTCAAAATCGCTACATGTTAATCGCCGACAGCTCTTGATATAGTTAGATTAATTTTGTTTTTTTTATGAATTGCATATGAATTTTATATTTTTGTAATTATTAAAAATTGAATGAATTGTAAATATTTAATTAAATTTATGCCTATAATAAATACTGTATATGAATTATGTTATAAACAAACTTGCCATATACATTTTTATCAATTTTTTTTTATATTCACTATATAATTTGCATAATATAAAATATACCCTTGTTTGTTTCTTGTATAATTTAGTACTTAGCATTGTTCTTTTTTTTCCTTGGAAATCCCTTGATAGTATTCCACACTTCCAGTTACCCTCGGAGGGTTTCTGTTGTATTTTACTTCATACCATGGAGGTATACCTCCATGTTTATACTAATATCTTGTAATATATAAATGATGCTGATGTGGTTGGTTGAATCAGGGAACCTCACTTGTTTCGGAAACAGCTATGGAATGTAACGATTTATGTACTGTAGACTCCATGTTGGATAATATCTGTAGGATTGAGAGGCACAAGACTTGTAGAGACTTTCCAGAGGCATAGGCTGGTTCCTGTAAGGTTGGGGGTGCGAAATTTAAGAATGTAGTACTCCCTTTTCTGATGAAAACTCAAAGGTCTTTAGTATTTTTAGCCTTCTTAATGGAATTAATTTGCCACCCCCATCTTCCCCCTCCCCCCTCCCACCCAGGCCATGCCATGCTCTCAACATTGAGGTTTGGTGTTTAGGAGTTTAATGCTGCCTCCACATGTACATAAATGTTTTATCTATGTTTTGTCTATTAAGTAAATAGGATGCTGTAGTATTGCATGGAATATTAATTGGCCATTCACTGCTGTTAGTATTGGCTCTTAAGTTTAGCTTTGTCCACATTGTCATGTCTTTGGGTCCGCGCATCACACTGACCCCCGAGCTTCACTGCTGTTGTTGTTCTTGTTCTTGTTACCAGAACTTTAAAAGCATCCAGCGTCGCCTGTTTTGAACGGACGTGCATGAAATTTTATACACATAAACTAGAGGTGATTTCCAACAAACATTTATCAACCTTTATTTAAGTTGGACCCCAGGGTTCTCCTACACCTACAAAACAAACATGATTTCAGCAAGGTGCTGTCGGTTAAGGATGTGTTCAATAAACATTCTAATTATTTAAAAATTGCTATCTCATTAGCTCTTCCAAAAAACCCAATATAATAACTTGCTCCTGTACCGTATTTAAGCTTGGATAAGCAAATACTATAACCGTATTATTTGCCCATGAACATCATGCTTAAAAGTCACACTTGTTACTTAAAGTTTGCTAGCGAGGACAGGGATATATTTTAGAGTCCTTTGGTTTTTGTATGTATAATTTTAAGAGCATTTTGCTATGGGTATTTTTTATATTTATTACGATTATGACATACTTAATGGGTTGATGGATGGAATAAGGAATGGATCAATGAATGAATGTATGTTTGTTACATTTATGATGTTATACACACATTTTCAATAATTTATACTTTTTTTATACAGGCAGCTGGATATATTCCTATTCAAGATAGAGTTGATCAAGAAAATTTTCAACCGCCACAAAGTTTTGGACAGGCATTTTGGGATACATTCAGTAAGGACAAATGTAACATTTAATAAATAAAATATAAGGCCCTTAGAAATAAGACTCTAAAGTATAAAGGTCTTTCAATTAAAAGCCTCTAAAATGTAACACTGCTATAATATAAATAAGGTTATGTGAACACAAAAATGGCCCAGTTTTTGGGGTGATTACCTCACAAGTTAAGGGGTGGAAAACACATTGTTATATATTTTAATTATCATTCTCATGTTTTTTCATCAAACACCCTTTTTGTGTTGTACAACATTTCAAAAATGGTTTTCCTTCAGAGCCTGACTTTAAGCCAAACTGTCGCCATAAAGAGTACTATGATCTACATCCTATGTTACTTAAATACTATCCCTTTCCTCTTTTACCTTCCTGAACATTTACCTCGCCATTCATAAACAGAACTATATTTACTCAATCTTCCCCTACATAATACGAAACATAAGCAAAAGTAGACAGTGCAGATTGAATACAGCATGCTACAGGTATGCAGAAACTAAAAACATGATAATAAAGACAACAAAGGTTGTGTCTGTTTCAGTTATGTATTGTAATTATTTCTCTTTGTAATAATATTTAGTGTTTTATTCTTGAAATTGTCCTCCTCAGCCTTTTGCTTCTATGTGTCTTTATATTTTTCTGCCATAGACTGAACAGAAAAAATTTGGTCTGATATATGGATTATATGCTTAATTTGTTTTCTTTCTTGCAGTGCAAAAAAACAGGGGACAGTGTAGAGCATCTTCTGTCCAGAATTGAGATGTGCCCAAAGGCATTCCATGATATGGAAACTAAGGTTTGAAAGTTTATATTCCAGTTGATAACAAAACCATCACTATTACTGCATTAAAATGTGGAAAACTCTCAATTGTTGTATCATATAAGAAAAGATTAACAGAGCTACAGAAGCAATAACATAGTACTTTCAGTGATATTGTTTGCAGACTTATTTTGTCAGTTCTTTTTAAGTCAATCACCTTGTTATCTCGTAACCATTATGGGTTTTTAGGCCATGTCTATGACGACCTAGGCTTATGATTCGTGTTAACCAGCGTCGTAGTAGTGAGGTTTGTTAAGTACACGGTGTGTGTTTATAGCTTGGCTTAACAACGATATGGTTTGCAGAGTGGTGGGAGGCCACTCAGCCTTGAAGACTTCCATCCAGTCTAAAGCTAATTTCCTGGCTCACAACCCACTTTTATCAACCATCCTTAAAATCCACTCTTATTATTGTGAGTTTACCAATGTTGTCTACCCCCACCTCACCCTTAGTTTTTTTTTTTATAGCTATAACCTTGTACTTTGTTACCCTTTTTAAAAAATTGTACATAAAAAGATTGTTACAACATTTTTCCCAATGGTATCCCATAATCCTTCTCTTTGAATTTATCATGCTGTTTGTACACTAGAGAAATAGTTGACAATGGTGAGTAGCCCTTATCTAATTATAATACTCACATATTATATCTTATCTATGGAATGTTATTTTATCTTATGGAATGTTATTTTATCTTATCTTATGTTTTATACACTTGTACTATATAGTCAAAAGTTTCTTTGTAATATTTTTACCATATTTGCATAGTACTATTAATAGTAGTTTTAATAATACAGCTTTGCTAAAGATACCTGCCTTTTAATTCTGTGAGTCTGGTTCAACTTGGAATTCTTTTCTCATGACTAGAAACAGCGTTAATTTTTTAGCTTTATATGTTTATGGACACAGTGGTGGATTCAAGGGTGCCTGCCCGGGTCCCCCTAAATTTTTCAAAAAATATGAAAGAAATGGAAAATTATAATAAGATTTAGGTCTAAGAGTGCCATTTCCGGCCATCTGGAAGGGTCATAATCATACATTTTCTTACCTCAGCCCTAGATTCCCTATCTTTGAAACACCCTCTCTATTTCAAATTCCTGGATCCGCTACTGGGACATGTGGTCCTTTGGGGGAGGGGGGATAAAATAGTTTTTTGCTGAACAGGTACCCCAGTTTAATTATGGATATATATATTTTTAATAATATATTACATAACATTTTGATTTCTTTTAGGCTCATAAGACATTTCAGTCCCTCGTCAAAAACCACGAAACGGGAAATACCAGTGAGGTTGGTCATCTTTACATGCCTTCACCAGACGATGCTGGTCATGGCACTAGCCATCAAGACATCACCAATTTATCAGACAGGTCAACTCTTCCAGAAATCAAACCGAGTCTCCCTCCCTTGCGTATGCCTAATGCTGAGTTTGAGGTGAATATCAAGTTGAGAATATGTTAACATAATCTGTGCCCTATAGTCCATTTCATGAACATTGACTATTGCCATTTTCCTGTAGTTGGCACACCCCTAATAAGCAACTATTATCAGGTTTTGAGTATACTAGGAAATAGAAGACAAAGGAGCCATTATTTCCTGAAAAATATTTTGAAGGAAATAGTGGTTCCTATTAAGGCTTCTAATACCTATGGTGTGCAAAATTGCTTGACTATAATTGCTTTGAATGTTGAATGTATGGAAACCGAGCTTCAGCTGTGCATATTAGAATAATTTCTTAGTAGTACCATGGGGGTATTGTTGAGAAGGAGATCACTCGGCAACAGATCCCTTTGACGCTACAAACCAATGTGTCCCCCCCCCCCGCCTTAGGATTACGCGCGGGCATATTACCCTATAATTCACATTTTTTCGTTAGCAACAACTTGGCAACGACATGCGTTTATACGTTTCCAGCAGAGCAGTTGTGCAATAAAGGGTTTGATTTTAACCAATTAAATATCTTTATAATGAACGATGTTCGCCTGATTGGATTTTTTTGGACTTTCAGTATGTTGTTATGTGTATATTTCAGGAACAGATTCCGTAAAATATTTCTGTTAAAATTACTTCTGTGTTCATTGTAATTTTGTCTAAAGATTGATTGGTTGGACTATAAAGCTAAGAAAGCTAAAACTGAAAATTACTCTGATTTTGGATTGAATATTCGAACAGTTAACCCTCGTTAACCCTAAAATGACTTAGTTTATTATAATCCTCTATCATTCCTTAATTAATATCTGTTAAAATTAGAATTATTGAGTTTTATCCAATTTATGGAAATTCAAGTTGAAATATACTATACTTTTAAAGCTGATGTAAATGTTTCATTAAATTTGAAACTCTTTTTTAAAGAAAATATTATTATGTTTGGTATTTCTTAAAGATCAATGTATTAGCTTCATTGTGAAAAGGATTGCGCAGCCATAGTGATTGACTGTGAGTAGTGCGCATTGAGAAAAGAACGTGCTCTCCATTTCACCATGTTCAATTTTTTTTGGTAAACTACCTGTAAGCCTGCTAAGCATTTGATGGCGGGGAACACATCAGACGCAAACGTTCTTCACGCGCTGCTGCAGCTTTGTTCTTGGTTCATTTGCATAGCGCTGCTTGCGCATAGCTTTTTCGAGTGATCTCCTTCGCAATAATACCTCCACTGACACTCTTCGCACAGTTCTTCGTGATACGAAGAAGATGAATAAGTGAATTTTATTAGGGGTTCATAGGTAGACCTAACCTCCTGATAGACATTTGTTTAAAAGATTAAAGTGTATTTTAAAAATTGATATGAATTATTTCAGCATTGCCTTATTTTTTAAGTCAATCACCTTGTTTTCTCATAACCATTATAGCTTTCTAGGTCATGCCTAGGACAGCCTAGGCTTCATTCATGTTCGCTAGCGCCGTAGAGCGAGATTTGTTAGGTACACTGTGTGCGTTCAAAGCTTGGCTTAGCAATGAAATATTCCGACGCCATTCACTGTAGTAAAATCACCCCAGCTTTAAGCTCTATTTGCGTATATATATTGATATAGTGATCAGTTGAGAATAGGAAAATTCAGTGCAAATAATGTGTTGACGTCACCACTGACTTATAAATGATTAATAGGAACTTGACTTCTACGACATCACGTTTCCATGCTAACCACCATGTGCAAGTCCTATTTCTGTGCTTACCAAGAAAGATAAGTCTTAAACAACTGACATCACTGCTGATTTATTTCATTAATACTTATCAGGATGAATAAATATATGCCAGTTTCCTTTTCGGATCTTACATTTATAAGTATAATCGAATCGTCTGAACCAGGTGGTGCTTTTAACGAATAGGCGCATGTAATCAGCTTTATTTTATCTTTCCCTTATGCAAAATTGTGTCAATAGCAGATAGCTTTCTACCAATGAATGTGTCAGATGATTCCATTAATTTTCAGGTAAGTTCTAAAAAGAAAACTGGCAATGGATTATCCAGGTATATCACTATAGATTACATCTCTTATTATTTGTTTGATTCCCATGTTGAACTTATACTAAAATTGAATAACATATTTTCTATATTTAAGAAAAATAAGAATTAAAAAATGTTATAATTTATTTTTAAATTTATTTATTTTTGTATTATGTATAATTTCATTACACTGTTTTAATTTATTTACCCTATCAGTTTTTTAGGAAAAATATTTTTAAAATCTTAACATTTTTACAGGTCAAAGCAGAAGGACTAAAAATGGAAGCACTGATGAATCCTAGAGTTAAGCTTACTATTGATGTACAACAAGGTGTCTTTATAGTAACAAGGCTAAAAGAACCTAAGGAGTCAACTTCTTATCAGCAAAACAAAAGTAAGGGTTTAGTTTGTTTTCCTATAAATAAATAAGTGATTTGGGTATATAATTTGGATATAATGAATATATAAAATAGCATTTGAAGATCTGTTAGCGTTGCGCTTTTTATTGTATTTCAATACTTTTTATATATTTGTATAGATTTATATATTATTTCACATTTTCCCTTACCTGTTAGTGGCGATTCTTCGCTGTTGGTGGAAATATTAATATGAAAAAAAAGTATTTATTTGAAATGAAATAAATTAAATTAAAATTAGCAGTCATTTTTCTCTATAGCATACTGCCTCTTTGTACCGTGTGGCACTGCTTTGTTCCCCCAAGAAGAAGAATGTTTTTGTATGAGCTAGTGCATGTATAGAGTGCTTCAAGACTTTTTCCTTATAGAACTTGAAACTGGCCTACATTGCATGAAACCACACAGCCAGAGCAACTGTTTAGGTGGAGTTGCTCAGTAAGAAAGGGGTGTAATATAATTCTCTGCTGTGATGACTAGTTATTAGTCCTTTTACCTCCTAGGAAATTAATATTTTTTTAACATTTTTAGTCGTGCAGCTGATCAAATCAAGAGAAAACCCTACACGCTTAGCTATGCGATTTAATAACAACAAAAAACGAGAATACAGTTTTGAAACAGCAAAGGTGAGTCATTGATTCAGGGTTTAACTTAAGATGGCCAAAAAAATATATATATATATTTAGCAAGTTAGGAAGAAAGTTTTTTGCTAATTAGAAATTTGATAGCCAAATCAGAAGAATATAAGGATTGATAGCTTAAATTTCATTAGCTTTTTGGCTAATTTTGAATGAAAATATTTAGCAAAATTCAACTTTTATTAGGATTCGACAATTTGGATATAATGACAGCTTAAACACTAATGTTTATCAGGCCAGAAAAAACATTTGTGGTGTTCCCCAAGCACATGACATTTGAAATGTTGTCTGGTTTGGAAGGTTTTTTTTTTCATTTAAGGGCCCATAATACCTGTCTAAGTGGTAGTATCCAGAGCCTATTTCATAGCTGCTTGATTCTTTACCTGATGTAAATTAGGTGGATGTGCTTAAATACATGTGTAGTAGTACAATACAAAAACTGGTCTTAAATGCATTATACTGACTTTTATACAGTAAAAAAAAAAGAAAGAAAAAGCTAAATGCAATGTAAGAAAACTGGTTTGAAGCATTTTCTCGCCCAGTTGGTAGCACCAAGTCAGATTGGAGAAGGACTTCATTTTAAGCCGGGCATTCACGTTTGATGGTTGTACATACAGTTAGTGCTCGACTTTGAAGAACACATTGCATCTTTCGGAACAGTTGGTTACCCCGATGCTTAGATTCATTTCATCCCCTGATGCTATCATCAGATTTAAATACACAAACCCCAAAGTAGATTATATTTAATGTTATAGATGCAATGATGTGAGAACATTGAAGAATATGTATGTTCAACTTTTTTTGATAGGAGAGGGAGAAATTTTGTTTGCTGATACAAACGATGAAAAACATGCATTCACATAGCGAGGAAGTGGACCAAATTTCGTTGTTTATTGGAACGTACAATATGGGTAAGCAAATTTTAATGTTTGCGCTCATCATCATCATCCCCATTGTCAACATCATCATCATCATCATCATCATTATCATCATCATGTCATCATCATCGTCATCATATGTCATCATCGTTATAATCATCATATTCATCATCATCATCGTCATATGTCATCATCATCATTATAATCATCATATACATCATCATCATCATCATCATCACCATCCTCTACTATGCAGAGCCTCTTTTGAGTAAAATTGCACATGGGTAGGTCACAGTGGACCTTTCCGAGGTGTCAATCAAACTTAACAATGACCAATGAGCAAAAGGCCAGGAATGCATGCGTGTACCACAAACGGAATTTTTTTTCACAGTCATGCATCCCCTACGCACCCCCTAGATTTGCATTATTACTTTGATTGGATTGTGATTTAGAATAACAAAAATTTTGTTATTAATGTCCTAATGATTTTTTGTTGGTTAGGTGATGCTGTACCTACAGCCAAGTTAGACACCTGGCTAACATCACAAGGCATTGGCAAGACGCGTCCTGTTGAGATGTCCATGATGCCCCACGATCTCTATGTGATTGGGACACAAGAAAGCACACTGAGTGAGAAGGACTGGGTGAAAAGACTCAAGGCAACAATCTCAAGAAATACTTCTATGAAGGATGAATACATCGTGGTATGCTATGTCATTTTAAGTCAGTAATTAATTGAATAAGCGTCTCCCGTATATGCGCTCTTCACGAATTAAAGGTTTGGCGCAGCGAGAACGGTTTGGTTTCCCAAACTCAAGGTCGGTGTTTCAATCTCTCGCTGTGCATTTCACTTGTGCCCTCGGGCAAGGCAATTTATCTGCATTGATTCTCTCCACCCAGAAGTATAAGTGGGTATCTGGTAGGGTTAAATGCCAAAATGCGTTGATGTAGCTGCTGCAGTGTTATGGAATACTCCCCCCAGGGAGCTTAAGTTTGTGTTCTGTAGGCGTTTAATCCAATGTCAGGGATAATAATAATTTGAAGTGCATAGAGGTTTTTACAATAATGCTATATAAGTCTACCATTATTATTATTATTATTATTATTATTGTTATTATTATTATTGTTATTATTATTATTATTATTATTATTATTATTATTATCATTATTATTATTATAGTTTAAATTGAGGATATCCTTTTGGTTTCAGCTGACTCTGATTTCATTATGGGGGATTCGAATGGCAGTCCTGGTTAAACCTGAACACGCTAATTGTATAACACACGTCAGAGAATCATCGGTCAAAACAGGCATTGCCAACACGCTTGGTACGTTATCACTGATACCGCCAAAATTTATAAATTTGGACGATATTAACTTTTAAGGAAAATAGTATGTTTCAGACATTTTGTTTATTTTTTATATGAAATATATAAGTACTATGTCATTCATGATAGTATAACATAATGAAAATCTTTTTCCTTTTTCATCATCTTTAATCAAGCAATCTATTTATCTGGTGTTGTTTTTATTTTGTGTCTAAATTTTACATGGATTCATTGTTGTATTTTTTAATAAGACAATATTAAAAGTTTATTTGATAATTTTTTACATTATGTTGGTGTATATATAAAGGTAACAAAGGAGCAGTTGGAGTATCATTCTATTTCAATGGAACATCGTTTTGTTTCATCAACTGCCACTTGACATCTGGCACAGAAAAGTGTTTACGGTAACTGCTGTAATTCCATTCAATATTTTTTCTTTTCTTTTAAAAAACCTTATTTTATATAGAGCCATCATCTCTTTATAAAAAATTAATGGAATAATTAATGACCAAATTACTGTATGATGTCTTTTTAAAAAGAAGCCTGGTACAGGGAGCATGAAGTGTAAAAATTATGATTCTGGTTTAAGAGTAACAAGAATAAACATGGTAATGGTATTTTTGAAAGCTTATGAATGAACTTTGCCTCATTATTACCCATTACCTTTCCAAAGCCTGTAAAAAAAAAAGTAGTCATCTCATTGGTCTACATCACTGGTGGGCAAAGTGCAGCCTGCAATTTTGCTGCTGCCTGTGAAAATAAATTAAAATCTCCAATTGTGCGGCATGCCTATCATCTTTGTCTAGAAAACCCCTTGTTTTGTATGGCCCGACACCGATCATTTGTAAAAAGTAATATTAAAACTACGATAAAGCAGTATAAAAGCAGTCCATGAAGGTATTTGGAAGCACACTGGAAACATCAGAGTTTGGATGCAGCCCTTAAGGTAAAATCAAAAATTCACTTTGGTCCTTTAATCCACTTTTATGCCCATAGCAGGTCAACCTAGTCTATTTTGGATGGAGTAGCTTGATGGTTAGAATGCTTGCCTTCCAATCCCAGAGACCTGGGTTCAAATCCTGTAACAGCACTGAAATTTTTCCAAAGTCATCTCCACTACTTGAGCATTGTAATGAGACTTGGATTATGAAGCATCTTATTATTATTTCAATTTTATTTATTTAAAAGAGGGCCCCTGAATATCAGTAAAGCTAGAAGGGTGGCCCTCTATGATATAGTATTTATGCAAAATTTGACCATGTTTTCTTGATAACCGTTTGAAAACAAATTTGTTTTATTGTGTACTTAGCGAGTGCACTTGTTGTTGACAGTGGACCATAGGCTTAGCCAGCGAGCCGTCCGGCCATCTTTTGGACGGCCAACAATTGATTATGACGGCCACATTTACCTTGACGGCTTAAATGGCTTGGCCAAATCTGCTTGGCCTAGCCTAATTGTGCCTGGTCTACCTTTAGCAAATTCTTTATATTCTTCAAATCTATCGAATGTTAACACTAAACTAAAGCTAAATCATATTTCAGTTTGATAAAACAACATTAATGGATTGAATATAAGTTGTTTTTTCATACCAATATTCGGTGGGGATTCCCAAAAATGTAAGACTTAACCATTGCCTACCCGGTGAAAAGTTCACTTACAACACGCGTCGTGTTAAAAACATTTATACCCTGCTTGAAAATGGACGGTTCTGAGTTGCCCACAACGCATGCACGTGGCTCTACAAATACAGTACTTGAGATTCGGTTCCACGACATAATATTGTTGGTGTTCGTAACTCTCTGGCTTAATTACTGTACTTCATGAAATACCAAAAGAAGATTTGTTGTTAACCTCACAAATTAAAATTTATTTATCAACAAAATTCAGTAGGTCTAGGCCTACCTCTCGATTCGGAGGACCTAGTAGAATTTACACTAGAATAAGGCAAAAGATGAGGATGTAATATCTGCACAGCCTAGAAATACCGTAGCCGTGCGCAATCTACGCATATAACTGAAATACCTTTCAATTCAACACTATTCCTTTAAAGACAAAATTCCAAAATTTAAACACCTTGAAATGCCCTCTAAAGATCATAATTTCTATTTTTTCTTATGTTTGGTATGGCCCGCTCATTGACTCAGGGCCATGCCCACTGACTTCCATTTTGGACGGCCTATTTCATTTTTCTGGCTAAGCCCCAACAGTGAACTAAATGAAATTAAAATTGTTAATTTTTTGTTATGTTTCAGGCGGAACCATAACTACCATGACATTTTGCGTGGTCTGGCGGTTGGGGACAAAGGACTGAGCATGTTTGACCTCAACACTAGGTTCCATCATGTGTTCTGGTTTGGCGATCTCAATTACAGACTTGACCGTGATGTCCAGGAGATCTTAGTTCAAATTAAGTCGAAGAATTATCAAACTCTTCTGAGCTATGACCAACTAAAGGAGGAACGAGAGAAGTTGAATGTCTTCATTGATTTTGGTTCGTTATTTTTTTTATAGAGTGCTTTTTATAGTGTGCCATATTTATTTGAATAAACGCCTGTAGGCTTTTAGTGTTGAGAAGGGTTTTTGGGGTGGCATTTATTTGAGGGAGGTGTTGGTTTAACGCCCCTCAATTTTGTAAAAACTTATTGATCCAAACCAAGTTAGAAAAAAAGTAATTCTACTGCAGTACTGTAGTACATTACATGAATGTGTTGAGAATGATGTGGCTTCCATTAGACTTGTTTACAGTCATTTAAGGGGGAAGGGCATTTATTCCAAATGAGACACTAGAGTGGGCGTTTATTTGAGCAGGGCATTTATTTCGAATAAGTATGGTTATTTATTTTATATTCATTTCGTGTATCTTCAGAGGCGGATTTAAGGGGGGGGGGGCGGCCCGACCCCCCCTTTTGGAAGGTAAAAAAAAGGGGAAAAAAAGAAAAAGAAAAAAATGATAGCCCACAACGCCTCAAATGATCACAAAAATTTCGCGGGGGCATGCCCCCGGACCCCCTAGGACGTTGTTGTCTCGATCGGCCCAAATTTCGGCCCCCCTTTTGGACATCTCTGGATCCGCCCCTGATCTTCAAAATGGTAGAATATGCCAGTTTTCTGTTGCCACTACTGACTGTATTTGTTGCTGGCACTGTACAGAAGTACTTTTCCTGCTATCGTACCACCACCCCTCTCAATACTGTTCTCGCTGCCACCATTTATCAAAACTCCTTCTGTTTTAAATACTACTCCTGTTGCTGCTGCTAATATACTGTTCCCAATACTGATTCTGTTAAGCTGTCTAAATTGGAATAGATTTATTTCCATCTTGTATCCATTTATTTTATATAGAGGAAGAAGAAATTACATTCCCACCAACCTACCGTTATGAGATTGGAAACAGAAAAACATATGCATATAAGAAAATCAAGAAAACAGGGGTAAATTTTGATATTTGCTAATTTATGTATAATCATTGTTAATAGTCTGGAATCCAAGCCCAAGAATGAGTGATCTGAAAAGCAATGTTAATAATAGAAGTGATGTTTTGCCCTACCTGGCATGTTATCGTACTGAATACTTAGTATTATAATACTTGCGAAAACAATGTTGCAATGTAAATCATGTGGGAATCAGAACTTGCAACCTCCAAATAACTAGCATGGTGTCATAGTCACTAGACCACCGGCCTTGCACTTAGTGACTAGGTTGAATCCGATCTTCAAGTAGCAGCATGACTGTAATGCTATTTTGACAAACACATAAAAAAAAAATTGCATTACCCGCTGCTACTTGGAGACGCAGACTCGGTGGTCTATTGGCTATGACACCAGTCTAGTTATCTGGGTTCGATTCCGACTGGAATCACTTGCAAGTTTTGTTCATAAGTATTTGTGAATGTACTGAGTATTAAGTATGATAACACTAATAGGAAACTGGAAATTGGAAATGTGTACGTCCGATTGGTTAATGATAGAAAGGCGCACAACTTGCTAACCTAACCATTGGTGTATCCAGGTCCTGGTAACGGTTAGCTCTAACCAATCGGACGTTATCACACGGGTGCTAACGGTTAGTGCGAACAGTTAGCCCCCGCTCCGGATACTTGCCTCTAGTGTGAACCTAACCATAATCAGCTAGCTTCCTGGAGAAGATTCCCATTGCATTAGGTAATAATAAGCTCATTGGTGTTAGAACCTATAATGAACCAAATTATACTCCTGAGTAGAGAGAGTTAATTTAATATTATGGTTGGATGGTGACTTTCAATGAGATAAATTAAACACAGCTCTTTTTGTACCAATACACTGCAAAGCTTTTATTCAGCATCAACCATTCTACTGTACATAAATAGAATCGACTACTAACTCCAGGTTTCTCGGATGTTAGAGTTAAAACCCTTAAGAGTGGAGTCAGTTCCAAGCTGAATCTTCTAAGCCTTAATCTCTTTTCTAAGCAATTCCTTTAAGTAAGACAGATGATTTGGTGTCGATAGTTTGGTTCAAAATTGTCAATTAACCGTGTGGGAAAATGGCAAGTCCAATTGTCCAGGGATGAATGCTTGTCACTTTAGAATGACCAGTAATATATCAATAGTTATAGTAAACCCATTAATGTGTCAAGCTAATCTGAGACATGTAACAGGTGAAGGGTATCAATGATATACAAATTCCAATAGTTATATAAGTTGATACTATTGAACATTAATACTGCATTACATTAACCATAAGTAAAATGCCTGCCCAAGGAACCAAGTGAAATGTCCATACGAGGTGCTTAAGCCCACAGCCTTAAAGTTGCTTTGTAAAACGCAATAGGATTAGTACTCCACTGGCAAATATAATTTCCAATAGAATGCTAGTGCTGCAATTCTATCTTCTATGATTTTTGGATGATAGGTTCGCATCAACCAGCCGTCTTGGTGTGATCGAGTTCTGTGGAAGTCCTACCCAGATACACACATTAACAACACATCCTATGGTAAGTCATTTTTAAAATAATATTTTGATTCAGTGAAACCCTTGTACACATTATTTTATAATTTACAAATTGATTAAATGTGTCAAGCTTTCAATAATGACTGTGTTGTCTGGTCTGCTAACCTGACGATTTTTTTAACAAGAAGAAACTCCAAAGAATCATCAAACTTGCTCGCAAAATTATTAAGACCTCTGTAGCTTAAGTGAATTATGCAGCAGATATGTATTATGTAAATTAAATAAGACTAACAAGGACTTGTCTCACCCAATGAACAACACATACTTGCACAATAAATCAGGCAGGCTATGTACTATTAAGTGCAATTCTAATAGATCAAGAAACTCTTTCATTAACAACTCTATAATACTATATTATAAAGCCTTCTAGAGAGAATTTAATATATTTATTTTTCAAATGTTCTGTACATATGCCATAACTTATGTAATGTTATTTGCTTGTTTCTTATCATAGTTATGTAACCTGCACCTTGTTGACAATATAAAAACATACTTATAATAAGATAGTTCTTTTTCTATATTGTAATTGCAGGTTGTACAACAGACATTGTGTCTAGTGACCATTCACCAGTGTTTGCATCTTTCTCTGTTGGTATTGAGTCCATGACAATCCCATCAAAAGGTTAGTAGCTGTACAGTATATGAAACCATTATTTATTGTAGCCTTTTACATACATTTGTCTTTCTCCACTAATGGTTATAATGGGAACCTGGTAGAATGTTGTGGCATTGAACGTATTTCATCTCTGCGCCCTACTAGCATCATCGACTAGTTGTACACCTCAGGAGATTACGTTGGACTTCCCGAAACTCAACGCCCCTTCAAATAAAATGAAACAGTCCAACCCAAGGCGCCACATTCGAACTATCTTCCTAACAATAGTCCTCATTCCTTAGAGGTCCAAGCGATCATGGAAAGGGTAGAAAAATAGGGAAGGTTATCGGAATCTGGTTATCCAGGTAAGTATTTCATCAGACTACCAACATTACAATTGATTTGTGTAATATAAATCAAAAATATTCATTACTATTATTATTATTATTATTATTATTATTATTATTATTTAATAAGCAAAAGAATGATATTTTATGTTGTCAAACTGATTGACAGATCACGGCAATGATGAAGAAGTCGTCCAGATAATCTTCACTCAGATGGATGCAGACATCCAAACAAGTAGCAATGGAAAATTCTATGTTGAAATTTTCTCAAGTTGTCTTGCTGGTTAGTGTCCTTAATATTTTTTAGTATTTATTCTGTCTTTAAAGTGATAGCACTTTAGTGACACATTATTATTATTTCAAGTGGATCACATGAACAAAGAAAAATATAATAGTAATGCAAACCAGAAATAAAAATTGAATGAACGGAAATTAAAAGAAAAAATAAAAACGAAAAATAAAAAGTTAATTTGTATCAAGGCAAGACTTTGCAGTGGAAATGCATAAAAATGTTACAGGGTTTTTAAAAACAAGTTTTTAAATGTCAGTTTGATATCATTAATGATTATTCTAATTTGGTTTGGAAGCTTGTTCCATGTCTTAGTTTCACGGTCTAAAAATGTCCTCTTGCCTTGTACAAGCTTACATTTCTGCACCATCAAGGTGTTATTAGATTTACTCCTAGTGCACTGAGAGTGGTTATTTTGACTAAAAGTAAATTTGTTGCATAGTTAAGATGGGGTGATTGCTTTCAGGCACTTAAATGTAAGCAATAGTAGGTGTTCTTTCTGTCTATCATTCAACTTACTCCTCATAATTCCAGGTGCCCCAAGTCTCCCAGAAATCGGTATGGTCTCCCGCACTCCTGCAAACAAGCAAAAATCTCCCAGAAATTCACTTATCTCTCGCCAAATTCAGTAAAAACAAATCTTTTTATGTTATGTAGGCATAAACTTTGGTTGCTGATTATTTTTTGCAGTCTGACAGTGCCCTTTCCGGGCTTCTATAGGTGCCTATTCTAAAAACTGTCATCACCTCAGCCCCAATCATGGTGGGGCTGAGGTGGGCGTGGCCCATTGTTTGGTACTTTTTCCTCATAGAATATATAGCGCCCCCAATGTCATTAAACGAATCTCCCTGAAGTTGGTTCTTCCAACTTGGGATCCCTGTAAGTCATTCATTATATCATCAATGGGAGTTCTAATGTCAACTGATAGAATTATTCTACCTAATCCTCTTTTTCTGTAATGGTGTTTATAATTCTTCAAGTAACCGGTATCTGTAAATAAGTAGTCTCTTTCCATCTTGTATTAAATGAGTAGTCTGATTACATTAAAAATAAACATTAAAAAGTTGAAGAATGCTTGAATAATTTTTTTTTTCCCGCCCTCCTTGAAGTTTGAATGCATTTAATTTACAGCTCTGAATATTACTTTAAAATATTTTATTCTAAATCTACAATGGTTTTTAAATTATTAACTTTGAAAATTAATATCTTAACAATTTTATTTTTAAAAAATAGTTAATAATTAAAAGTCATTCATATGTCTATTTAGTTATTTACCATCAGTATAAATTTTGGGTTTTTTTTCAGAACGTAGTGTTAAAGGTCGAAAAAGCGATATATGTTATAACAAAAATTTTAACCTGGTGTCGACGGCATGGTCTGCCGACGACTTTCCAAAGGTAAATACAATCCCGATCACTATGGCTATAGTATAATGTTTATAGGTAAATCAATACAGTACATAGGTATTGATCAATCCCCATTGATAACAGTATATACTGTAGGCCGCATAGCAGACTTCTCAAGTTCGAAAAATGCATTTCAGTAACCAAGTCTTCAAATATCTGTAGTAAATACAAAATTTCCGTAATGTGTCTTGAGTAAAACCATGGACCTATATAATAGGTCCATGGTAAAACTATGGGTTGCTTAAATTATAGGTACGGGATAATAACAGCTGTAGAATATCAAACAAACAGGACAGGATGAGATTTACAGCCAACTTTTTCTTAGTTTACATAATAATTTATCATTAATCTGACAAGTATGTGTTGTCTAGGGACCAAACTAAAAATCCTGATGGGAAAGTCATTAGTTCTGGACTATTTATTTATGGGTCTAGGCCTATGAAAAATGTCTGTAGTATTTTTGTTTATTTATGTACGTCCATAATTAAGCAAACTTTCCATATTATCTACAGAAGTTCTGTAGTACGTGAGAAGCCTGACATAATCCTAATGACCTTGTTATGTGTTTTTTTTTTGCCAGTTATTTAAAGACAATCTCTATTGCTCATATTTTTTTATTGTTATTTTTTATTTGTATAAGGATCAGTCTCTAGAGAAAAACCGGAGGCAGATTAAAGTGTTTCAACACTTTTTTAGGAAATAAGCCTGAGAGTGTCATTTCCGGCCATATAAATGTGCCAATTTTGTACCACAGCCAAACCGTTGTGGGGCTGACAGAGTCTAAACAGTCTACCTCCCTGGCCCCCTCTATTTAAAACTTCTAGATGTTCTACTGATACCTTACTTGGCCCCCTTACACTAGGATTCCTCAAATATCACATACTCTTATCATTATTGTACTTTTATTTTTCATTCAATTTCACCGCATTTTTTTATAGAGTGCATTGAAAATTTAGAGGAATGACTAGGTCAGATATTTTTATACCTTGTTTCCCAAAATTACTGCCAACTGATAAAATTGAATTTAAACAAAAAAAAAAAAAAAAAATCCCAAAATTTTACTAAAATTATTCTATATTCTTTTAACATTTTAGGAAAGTATAATACATACTCCAAGTATTGAAATACACGCCATCGTGTTGGGATTCAATATTTCGACATTAATTATGTCATCATCAGGTGATGATGACATAATTAATGTCGAAATATTGAATCCCAACACGATGGCGTGTATTTCAATACTTGGAGTATGTATTATACTTTCTTATCTGAGATTAATCAGTGGACCTTTCGGTTTTTAACATTTTATGTTTGCTATATAACAAAGTATTAAAAAGTCTAGCCTAGCTCATGATCTTATGTAGGATTACAGTGATGTTAATACTTGCTACCTTTTATGTTACAGTTAAAGCCAATCGTCTCCAACTTTCACTACTTAGAGGAGCAGCATATGTTGATAACTATAAAGAACTCAGACAGCGATGAGTCTTATGGTAAATTTCAACATCTATTCTAAACTCAGAATTGTCATTAACACGTTGAATGCCAGACCCTTTTTTAGGTTCTGTCCTATGTGCCACAACAAGTATGCATGTACAAACATACTTTTAAAAATGTTAATCAAGTCACATATCATCAAAATGGTGTGTCTAGTAATTTGGCGGGAAAATATTAGGAGACGTGTAAACTCTTCGCTGGCAATGGGACAGTACTTTTTATAGGTTCAGCCAAGTGCAAGTTTTTTAATTGTTCCCCTGTTTGCATGGGTTGATATATGTTCAGAGGGTGCTCCTGCACGTGAAATATTTCTTATTTCCGACAACACAACACATTATCATCTTGTATCTTCCCTGAACCACCAGTTGTTAAGTCTGTGACTCTGTAATGAAGTAATAAACACTAGAATGTTACCCTGATTTTTTATGAGTTGGGCCTATATTTGTCCCTGCGCTCTAGGCATCACCCTGTGGAATGAGTATACTCATCACTGGCAGCGAACGTGGTAACTTCTTTCATTTTTATCTTTACCAATATCATGGAGCCATAATATACAATTCTGATATCGATTTACCTTCGCAGTAATTTTCCTGTTGTCGTGCTTTTCTATAGAGCCCGTAGTTGGTTCAACATTTTTTTTTTTTTGCTTGTGTGCAAAAACCTTAAACAAACTTTACTATCTCACGAAAGGAATATTTTTTTGCTAGGCCCAAACAAGCTGAGCCTAGCCCTGGTGTGGTATAATTGGCAAACATGAAGGAAGCCTAGACTAATGATAAGCCTAGAAAGGCTAAATGGGTTAACAATTGGCTTATGAAGGAATTATTTAAAGCTTTTAGGGTGCTGTTAGTGTATGGTACTCTGACTGGCTGACAATTTTACAATGTTTTATGGTGAATTGAAATAATATTAAGAATTTTTCTCCAATATTGATTAACACGTATAAAATTTGTTTAAAGGGGAGTTTGTGGTTGCGCTGAAAAACAAGTTAAGTACAGAACCAGTGGGATTTAAGGCAAATTTAACACATAATGGATTACGGACTGGAAGTGTCAGGTATGAAATTTTAAGTATCTTATCATGAGACATAACAATGATTTATTAAAACTTTTGTTCTATTTCAATGAAATTTTATATAAATAAGGATTGTAACTTTAGTGGTGTGTTCAAGAGAGGCCTAGCCCAGCCTAAATTTTCTAAAATTATAAAAAAAAAAAAAAAATGGAGAAAAATTAAAAATGATATTCAAATTTAAATCTGGGAGTGCCATTTCTGGCCATCTATCTAGGTGCCATAATCTTAAATTATCTTGCCACAACCCTGATCATGGTGGGTTGTCTAGTCATTCCCTGGCCCCCCCCCCCATTTCAAATTCCTGGATCCGCCACTAAACTTTCACTTGGAAAATGAACAAAATATGAAACAGAAACAAAGTTAAAGTTATTATCACCAATGGATTTTTTTTAATTATCTGAAATCTTTAATGGTATGTTGCTATACATTATATTTGAATGTGAAGGCCATAAATTTAATATATTTACTTAAAATCATAGAAACATTTATCATCACATGTCATAAATAAATGTTGCTTTAATTGCTACAGTGGGAAGATGCATGTAAAAGCTAGGGATGAAAGTGCATATGGTGCATGTGTGAAACCAAGAACTTATGGTAAGATTCTCACAACTATGTTTTTTTAATTGGTGCATCTTCTCCTGAGTATGGCAATATCATTGGTAATATTTTGCTATTTTGGGTTGCCATACTCAACTATGATGCAACCCCTCATGGTAGCAAGGGGGTGGGGGGGTCTCAATTTTCTCACACCTCTCTCCCCCAACCTCCCCCCCCCCAAGGCCATAACCAGCCTACACCCCTGATGCAACATCACATTGTGTTCTTTTGGTGGAATATGAAAGAAACATAAATGGACGGACAGAATAACAAATACAGACAAACAGACAAATAGGTAGTAGATAGATCCCTCTCTATTACCAACCACCACTCGCAGCTGAATTGTACTGCTATGTAATTTCTTTTTATTCCATTGATATTTAGACTTGGTGAAATTTGATGACCGGTCAGACACAACTAGTTCCGTGGACTCTCATGACATTCTATCAGATAACAATCCATTTACAAGCAATAAAAATAAAAGGCCAGGTAAGTTGACTTTTAAATTTCAAATGCACTCCCGAAAATACTATAGTAACTTTCATGATAAGAGGATATTTGTTCCTGTTTTTTTTTTTTGTATTGCAGTAGCAGTACGCCTACAGGCTCTTGGGAGGCGAAGCCTCTGACCACCAGATCCCTGCAGGGACCTCTCCTGCTGAATATACAGTACTTTTCTAACAGAGCCTTGACATTACAAGACTAGTGAATTAAAATGATGTAAATCCTGGTCTTTAACTCGCGAAGGTCCTATGTGGATTAATTTAGTCTTGAATGAGATAAAATCAGTGATTGCTCCAGACAAGGGGTCCAACAAGTCTCACTAGGGGTCTGCATCCCACGAATTTCACGTCGGCAATCGGCAATTGCCGACCATAATCATATTGCCGAGCCAGAATCGCTACAGGATGGCAATTTTTTGCCGACCTAGGCCTAGATTTCTTTGCTTCAGAAACTGCTTGGAAAGTCAAAAACTTTGACTGAAACAGGCTATAGCAGACACTAAATTTCATGTACGTCGTCAAACCAAGGAAATTGGTGGTTCATAAAACAGATTTGTTTGTACAGTAACTATTTATAATAGGCATGCAATACGTACGATTCGTGTACAATCGTCGTCTTTCTTGCCTAGTCGTTTCGTAAGCTAGGCCTAGGTAGGAATGATGCTAGCCAGAGTAGGGCCAAAAACATCGCCCAATTGAAGCCACGTGGGCCGCGTAGATCGTAACTCTTATCTAAATCTATTATTTGTCTTCATTTTAAAGTATTATTATCATATTTAAAATGTTGTTTATTATCTAAAAACACCAAAATTCAACATAATTGTAGGCCTAATCCTACCGTCCGATTAAACGCTATCATGATCGCATCGTGACTTCACCACTGACAAACATGTGTGGAAAATCCCTGATAAATCATTCTGGGCATGCGCATGGACATGCATGGGCAATTTTGAAGCAGCCTGTGATGAATTTAAGGTTGGCAAATTTTTGCCGACCTATTTTTTTCCTAATTTCGTGGGCTGCGTCTGAACCAAAGAGTTTGCTTAGAGCTTCAGTCAGAGTCCCAGAATAAAATCCTTAGTAGCGTTCATGAAGAGAGAATTTATGGTTTACGATGGCCCAAAAATTGTGATTTTAGACCACAATATTATGGATTGGCAAATTAACATTTTTAATCTAATGACATTGTTGAGGCATCAGATAACAGGACGTGTATGCTTGTGCAATAAGGAAATTGCCAAAAGATCCCCCACTGGTGTCACGGCTGCGAAAATGATGTAAATATCTCTGCTAATACAATGTTTAATTTCTTTAATATTCAAAATATGCAAATCTGCATTTTGGTTAAAAATGTTTTTGGACTAAATTGTTTATAAGAGAGTTGTCTTTTGTTTTATAAATTGAATACATGTTTATCATATATTATTGTTATTAATTGTGCTTGTATAGTGCATACTGCTAGAGCATCTATGCACTTTCCAGAAAATTAGAGAAAAATGAAAAGCAGAACAATAAATAGGAAATTCAAAGTAAAAAAATATATATCAACTGATACATTTCTTTTTTTTTCTATTGCCTGTGGAATACTGTATATTTACCATGGAAACACCACCCTTGGACAACTCTTCTTGCCTATATTTACACCCTCAAACATTTTGCAACTCAATATTCAATCCCATTAATTAAGGGTCTTAAAGATGGGATCCCCAGTAAACCTTAATGAACATACAGCTCACTACAAAATATATATCCTCTGACCTCTGACCTGTGCTCTATGTAACCAATTTTGGTGTATGCTCAGTAACTAACAATCAGAAGCAGAAACATTTAATACTTAATGTTTTTGAATTTTTATTTTTGTAATTATATTATATAATCAGTTTCCTGTATTATTCTTTTTGGCATCAACTTTATTTTGAAAATTATAATTCATTACTTTAATTTTATTGTTAATTTGATTTGTTCATTGTTTCAAGGTTTGGTTAGAATCATTGATTGGAATAACAGACCTCAGCTCCCTGAACCAACATCAGAAACTCCTACCCTGCAACTGCCTCATAGACGGATTGATTTATCACATCAGCTTTCAAACTCATCAACAGCTACAACTCCAGATAGCGATTCTAGTTTGTTTCCACTGCATCGTTGTGGACACTACCCACCAGTACATCAAAATGAAACACTTATGCAAGAAAAGCTGGCTGGCTCCGATGGGACAGGAGAGGACAACCTAGCTTTTGATTCCGGGAACTTGGAAGAAGATTTATTGAATCCACCAATCCTGCCTCCACGAAATAATTTCGGCCAGGTAGACAACTTAACGTTTCTCAATGGAAGCTTATCTTCAAACTGTTCAACAAGAAGTGAGATAAAACCCCCGGTAAACAATCCACCTGCCCTCCCGCCACGTCCGTCTACTCTCGATAAATCTGAAAAATTCAACCAAAAGCCAAGAAATCCAGTGGGAAAATCTAAATCAGATGTGTCATCAGAGGCACCACCGGTGCCTGCTAGAAGAAAACAACAGGAAACAGGTAACGAGGATGAGAGTGCCCCAAGACCGAATCAAAGAATCCAACGGGAATCAAAGGTTAGACAAATACGCGAATTCTATGAAAGCAACAAGCTCAAGAGATACCAATCTGTGTCAAGCTCCTCGGCACTAGTACCCCCCACAAGCATTTCACTACAATATAATTGGAAAGATCCACGATACAAGCCTAAAAGCAAGAATTCGAAGCTTCCAATTTGTGAAGACCAACCACCTCCCTTACCTTTAAAAGGAATGACCCATTTAACAGATGATTTAGAGGTATTCTTTGTTAAAGTTATTTTATTTATTTTATTATGTAAAATTTCAGATGGTTTTTATATGCCTTCTTATTTCTGCTTGTCTTTTGAGATTAACCTTTTTGCATACTAGATTTTGTTTTTAAACTCTGTAATGTAATGTTATATGTTATTATATAATATTTATATAATATATCTCCATATGGTTATGTCTACTCTGAGCTTGATTGCTTAGATAACACACTCATCGCTTAAGCCTCTTACTTTCCAGTTTTTTTTTCCTTTAGTTTGTTGTTGCTGAGCACCGTCACACACATGCTTTTACATCTCTTGAGCTTGTTACTAAAAATAGCCTAATGTATCAAAGGTATAGAGGTGACATACAATATTTGAATGTTTGTATTATAAAGAGTTAAACGCATTGGAACTGCTTGTATAATTACACACCTTGGTAAAGTATAACTGTTAGATTTCCGATGGCCATTTTCTTGTATACAGATAAGCATATTTATGTAGTCGAGTAGCACTTGAGTATTTACATATAATAAATCTATGCTTGTATGACTTCTATGCATGTTTACAGTCAGGTGCCTTATTTAAGGTAGAAGCTCGTGTATCGCAAAAATCTTGGTATGTATAGCATAGCATGAGGCACGATATATAGGTATGTAATGCACATATAGAATAGTGACGTTCAAATTTGTCATATACATTTTAGTATGTGTGGTTTAAACACATACAGTCATACATCTTTTTGTATTATACTATATAGTTTAATATTACCTATCTTTCGTATATGTAGTTTAATCACATATAGTACAGGTATTTTTTAGAGGCTCAAACTTTTTTTTAAATCACCATCCAAATCATCATTTAAAATCTAAATTATGTTGTCAATCAATGGAAGTTATAAGTGAGCACGATCGACGATTAGTTTGGATAGTCTGAGGTCTACTGCTCCGCTCAATGATCTAATGACGAAAGGGGTGCCCCACATTCTTTAAAAACTCTAATCAAAAATCTTCAGTGGCGTATATAGGAGTACAGTACTGACATGGGGATATGTTAATGGCTGGGGGTGCGAATTTTAAGTGGGGGAGGTTGATCAAGTGAGAGGTGGCTAGTTGACAAAATAAGGTGATATGAGGTAATTTTTAAATACATGAGCGTAAATTTAAGGAAGCGTATTTGGCGGGACATATATGGCACACGCATCCCTGTAGATACGCCACTGAACATCTTCTTGTGCTGTGTTTTCTAAATTGATGCCACGGACTGGATGCACACCAATCATTCGAGCAATAAGCCCAACGTTTCATGTCGCAGACAAGTTCCAGAATAGTTTCTCATTCATTGAATCTGTACAGTTATCTCATGCAATGTATTCTGGAGTTAATTTATCAAAAATCTAAGTGAATTCTTAAGTACTACCCGAAGGAATTTATATCCGCTTACACAATCAATTTGTTCATCCATTATGAGGAATATTTTAAATTCATTCATGTTTTTTGTTTGCATACTCAACATTAAGATTGTTTAGGAAGTGTTTAGTTGAAGAAAAATTGTTGTGATAATTTGCTAATCTAGAAATTTCCTGCCCATAATAAATGACTGTTACCATCATCAATCAATCAATCAATCAATCAATCAATCAATCAATCAATCAAAATATTGCTGCAGCTGGGAATATAGGCTCTTACAAAATTGATGATAGCACATAAAACATGAGCTTAAATAGTTTATTAATGGAGTTGTAACCAGTGACTGCCCTTGCAGGGGCACAGGGTTAAGACCCCCTCAGACAGGCAAAGCTCACAAGTTAAGTGTAAGCCACCACTTGTTGGACAAGTTTGTTATTTCTCTTTTTTAGTTCTTTGGGCATGAAAAAAACATTCTAAAACATCTCAGATCAGCTTAAAAAAAAAATGCCCAGATTCACTTTCTTAAATATATATTCCAGAGCCGCTACTGGTTATAACTCCATAAAAGCAGCTTTTTCATTCATTCAAGGCACTCTGTCAAGATTTTAATAATAATAATAAGTGTTAGTTGCATAGTGCAAAATACAGAGATTTTATAGCTGCAAGTGATTTAAGTATTTTGACAACTAAACATTGTCATATCGTTTTGTACATAAGGAACTTGTATTCTGAATTTTCAGCAAGGCTAGTAAATATAGAAGAGTATGAAACAGTCCAAATGAAGTGAGCCATTGTGACTCAATATTCCTGAAGATGAACAAACTAATGGTATTGGTAATGGTTGGAGATTTGTGTAGTGCATCATACATGATCTCTATGTGCTAGTGTTACCTTAATCGTCCAGTCCAGTCCTCTCGCTAGTTACGCCTAAGATTAGCATACGCCCAGCTTTTAATACGCCTGGCGTATCTCTCAGTTCTGAACGTGGTCTAAAGCCGTTTTCCACTAGGCGAATTTATTCGTACGAATGGAAAGCGTTGGTTTGCTTCCTAAGCTCTGACTGGTTGTGAATTTTTTTTTCGCTTCGCAAAAAGTAGAAGCTGAAGCAAAAATGCCAATAAAAACGTGAATGCGTGTGCGCATGAACCGACGCTTTCGATTCGCGCGAATAAATTCGCCTAGTGGAAATCCGGCTTGAGATACGGTGGCTTACATCAATTCAGAGTTCATACTCTCTTATATTAAACTTTATCAAATGTTAATAGAATATAAAAGATAAAGAAGTTTTTTTTCACAGAAAATAATTCTTTTCCCATTTGTTTTTTCCTTTAGGATTATGATTCCTTAAGAAAACCGGAATCCATCTCGGAATGGCTTGGAATGCTGGATTTACCACAGTACAGTCAGGATTTGATTCTCAACGGTTGGGATAGCATCGAATTTCTCAATACGCTAACGGACAATGATTTGACTATGGCGGGCATTACTAACGTATCTCATCGTGAACGTTTGTTGATGAGTATTGTATCTATGTCTCTTGGAAAATAACCTCCTCATTCCATTTTTAATTTCTCATTTGTTTTGTACATCGTCTGTTTCACGGTGACGCAGTGGCATATCTACGGGAGTTTGGGCCGCAGGTGCTCCTTTGCCCTCCCCCACCGATTAAATTAAAATTATATTTAAAAAAATTTCTCTATTTTGCAGGCTAATACCCCCTCACTTAATCAACAAACCCCACTTACCCTTTGCATCCTCATCAGGCGATACCCCAATCCCATATGGCATTATTCCTAGATATTATGCCACTCTCATGAAGTCCATCAGTAATTATGTAATTAAATAATAATGTCATACAGGATAAGACAAGTTTTAATTGCTGCTTCTTGAATAACCCTCGCATGAGTGTTGGGTGGGGAATAGGGACAATACATCCGTTATATGTCAGTACCAGCCAGCCAAAATATTTTGAATTGGACAAAAATTGAAAATCCATACTTTTTTTATCAAGAATTTATTATGTTCCTCAAATAGATTGCTGCATAAGAAATGTATAGGCCTATGTAATATAATTCTAAACTACTGTATAAAGTAGCATTTCAGTTCATCCCAAATAACGTGAACAATCTTATAAGCATCGCACCAAACAACGTGCCTCAGTGTTTTCTGTTATCAACAAACCATTAGTCAACATATTTCTCACCAAATTAAAAAAATACTCATATTGCACATGATGTATCCATATTTAACACTCCAAAAATTTGAAATGAGTGCTGCCCTCGAATTAGCACCTCACTAATGCATCCAAAATTGTTATAAGCGCTGCACGACAATTTGGATTTGGTGCGTTTAAAACCATTGCTTTTGATCTGATTTTTTGTCTCTTCTGTCCTGTTTTCCTATGTTTTTGCTGTCTGACACTTTGGTCACTTTCTGTGCTTGGATCTTATTAAAATTTTGTCCAAGCAAAGACCATATATCAAAGATGTTGTTTTCTTTTATGGAGGCGTTTATTCCAAATGAGCCTCTAGTTGGGGACATTTATTCAAAGCGGGGTGTGTTTTTTAAAATAAATATAATGTATGACTTTGTTTTTACTTTCTAATTTCATCATCAGCCCTATGCTCTGTTTTACAAACAGACATAGTAAGTCTAGTAATTTTATTCTTGATATGCTCAGCACAAATACACACGCTTTCACTGTGGTTCATCTTTAATGAAAAGAACTAATACTGAATTATTGTTCAATAAATATTATTTAATAGAATGTGTAAATTTTTATTGCATTTATTTGCCAGTTGGTAACTGAAATTAATTTAATGGCATATATAAAGTTCAGTTCTATCTGGCCTGCAAACTTATTTAGGTTTAACCTCCTTCGTATTGTCTTTAGCTTTCCACATCTCCCTTCACAGTTTATGTATGTAGCAGTTTTTTCCATTTATGTTATCGCTGCTAATTTTGCTGGTATTTATATTTAATATTCCGTTATCAGTAGTGGTGCCAGAGATTCACTAAGAGGTCAAAGGACGCAATCAGGGGGTTCATACCCACCTCAGCCCCATATATGCCTCTATAGATTCCCACAAAAGGCGCCCTCTGATTGTGAAACCACTTTTTAAAATGGCGTTCAACATAATGACTGACCTCTTCCTTGACGAATGTCCTGTGTCCCCTGACCCTTGTTGGCGCTGCCACTGGTTGTTACACATCCATGCTTGTAGCAAATGTGATTGTGTTTATGCCTTCAAATTTGTAGCGAGTCTTAAGCCAGGCACTCGCTGCGTTGTATGACTGTCGCACAAAGAATCCAGCTCTGCTTCCAGAGAGCGATAGACAACACAAAGCCGTCTGCCGATTGTCAGTCTGAACGGATCCTCATTAAAAAAGTAATCCATTGGGTCCGTGCTTTCGTCGTCGGATCACCGTGGCCCGCAGCGAGTACCCGGCTTTACACAATATACATTTTGTAGCATGTTTATACGGTGTGTGGAATTTGGCCAAATTTCTAAAGTTGTACATGCATATTTTTGTATTTTTTTTTAAGCTTTCTACTATATTATTAAAAATGTTTAGTCACATCATGTATACTCGTTGCAGCCGTATACTGTATTTGTAAATCTTATCAAGTTGTCCATCGACTAATTCAGATATACTCCGAATTTGTAGCTAGAATCTAGATTATCCTAGCAGTCAAAGGGGGCGGAGCAGGGGAACCTGTAGGAAAGCACCCAGGTCTGCCACTGGTATGGGACAAATAGCCTACATATTATATACAATTTTCACTGTATATCAGGTAAATGGAATTATGTACAATACAGTATGTTGTTTTATACAGGCTTGAATGAAAAAAAAAATGATGAATCAAACACAATTGGAGATGTGGTTTTATTTGCCCTTTGTTTATTTGCTCTTTGTCATCAATTTAAATTATATGCATTCAATTCCTGTTCTTAAATTATATAGAAATTAAGCAAGGTGCAACTTGTATGTGGTGTATTTTCATAAAATTTCAAGTGCCTCATAATTAGAGTTTGAAGTAATTTGTTCTACATATTAAGTATGATTAAACATTTTAATTACTAGTTAGGATCATCCAGAAAACAGTTGCAAAATAAATTTTAGCATGAAAATATGCAAATTACGGGATTCTCAAATGCCCTCTGCTATTGTGTACTTAATGCTATATTAGTCATCTCAAAATAATTGTACTTATAAACTTTATGATCGCCATCAGTATACTACACCAAACACATTTTGTACGTAGGAATTAATCATTGGCTTTAAAATATTTTATCAACATTCGTATTAAATCATTGTGACAAAATGAATTTAAAAAGTTTATTATATTTGCCATGTAAATACGACTGTACTTTAGAATGTAAAACATGACTACACAACTTGTGGTTTCATTTAATTTTGCAAGCTTTAACAGTTTATAAAAATCCTTTTTTAATACCCTGGAGATTACATATTATTATATAAAAAGTATTGTATAAAGATTTTTTGTTACTGTATGTATCTTAAATAAATGCGAACAATTTCTTAAGTTTTTTTTTTCTAGTGTTTGTTTAAGAAGTGCTTACTTATACCATCTCATCAGTGTAATGAAATAATTCATATTGAAGAGAGTACAGAAACTCCCTCTCTCCCATAAAATGGTTATTTTGGAATCATCAGTAAGAGACTACATTTTCAAACCCCCTTGCCTCTCCCCTAGCATGTCTTGTACTCGCACAAAAATAATGTGAAAACGAATGAAATGAACTCAATAGGTCTCATCATATAGAGTACATGAACAGAGCTCCTATAGGAGAGTGCTTCAATATCTTCAAATATTTTTAAAAAAGATTATTAAAAAATGTAGGCATTTGTAGGCCTATGTTATTAGCTCCGATGAGAAACACCTGGCTGATAGATCTTTTTTTAGCTCTACTGCCTCTAATATACTGCCCTCATCGGAGCTTTCGAGATTACAAGAAATTGTTTTTTAAAAGCAAGACTGATAAATGTCTGACCCACTTCCACTGGAAACATGAAACAGATGATTGTTATTCTGTATCATTAGGGGACACTATTATACAACCAATTTATCACAAATTGATAATGTTGTAAGTCAGATACTGTAGGCTCAGTACAGCATATCATAGCTGTTGACTACGGCTATAATAATACCTATGAGGATGCCGCTACAATGTAACATGGGGAACACTGGCATTTCAGAAATGTTTAACAGTTTGCTGCTCTGGACCATTTCTCTTAGTAAAAAAGCGCTAAACTGGAATCTCCAAATGTATAAATCAATCATTATTCGAGGGGTCCCAAGTTTGAAGAAGTCATTTCCGGGCAATCCGTTTTCTATGGCCTTTCTTAGCACATCTAATTTTGTTTTGCTGCTTATATGGTGATACCCATCGACACTGATTTCCGTGAGACACATGATAATAAGGGGTAATATAGTTAGTAATTAAAACATGCAGATTTATTGAATTTTTAGAAGGTGGGTTATATTCTGGGCCAAGTAATCTGGGTGCAGGAGGCCATCCCAATTTCCAGGTAAGTTGGGACCCCTGTTCAGTATTTGATGTAAATGAAGACACCCATTACAGCACTATCTGGTATTTAATTAAATGTCACTGATGTCAAAGTTCAGCTTGCACATGTTTTTTGCAACTCATTCAGTTTTGTCCTGGTGTAGCGAAGGCGATGGTGGGCCATCAGCGCATCTTTCTGCAGCAGATAACTGGAGCCTTCATGGGGCTGTCCACTTGCAACCTGTCCAAGGTAAGCAATTTGTTCAGTCAGTTTGCTTTCAACGTCTTTCAACATTTTTAGGAACTGCTTGGATTCATTTTCAGCATTTCGTTCACTTGGTTTATCCTTCGATAATTCTTGAACAGCCTGGCCTAAATTGAAAAACATGAAACTAGATTAAAACAAAAATGAAAATCATTTATTGATACAACTCAAAGACAAATAGGAATTACAAATAGGATTAATGATTATGATCACTCAAGCAGAAAATATAGCTTTATTATTTAAAAGTTCAACAACACAACTTGCCAATATCAAAACATTGAAAAAAAAATACAATATTATGCAGTATAAATAAAGATGTGGTATGTACAGAGGTAAGCCTAGGCCTACTTTTTGCATAAAAATATCAATTAATTGCTTATGAAAGGAAAGAATTTTCAAATAATGAAGCGGATATACTTATGTCGCCGTAAACAAATCAGTAAACGAAACAATTTCTCTTTGCAAGAAAATCTTTTTCTTCTTTTTTTGGCCTTATTAAACGAAACGTGTAGGCCTATTAAGTATTTTGTTATGGAATTTCATAGGCCTAGGCTTAGCCGCAGGTTCGCAGCCAAATGTACGGACAGACAGGCATAGCCTTTATAAAGCCTCTTTAGCTAGCAGGCTCTCTAGGCCTAGCTAAGGCCCTCCTTCTACCTAGGCTAGCTAGGGCCAGGCCTAGCTAGGTGCCTCGGCAAAAGGGCATAGGGCCTAGGCCTAGGCCGCCTAAGTAAAGGAAGTACAGGTAATAATATTTACCGGCGTGATGGACAATACTTGCTATGTCTTTTTCGATGCTAACTAACTTTTGTAGTCTTTCATATGACTCGTCCATGTTAAATTTAGCACAACTAGGCTAGTGAACCACGGTCGTCTATACCTCGACCAGAACCCTTAACAATTCAAAGACAATAGACATAACTTGTTCAAAAAAGTGACTACGTTTTTTTCACGAACACGACGGCGGTCATAACATGGCGGTCACAAATCACAATTACTGGAATATTCCATTAAAACAGAGGGCAATATTTGTAAACATTTCATGTACAGAAGCAATAACAGTTACAAACATAATACTGTATGCCTAGGCCTATTTAGGGAATTGGGATTAGGGATTGAAAATCAAAATAACGGTATATGTATAGGCAAATCAATATTTTGTGGTCCATCCAACGACATAAAATAATTTTATATTATTATTTGAACCTTGATAAAGAAATAAGGATAGGTCAAAATATAGGTTTTCTGCAGTATGTGTTTCTAAAGTCTATATACATGGTATTCGTTTCGTATATTCATTTATTGTCGTACTGAAACCAGTATTTAATCATTTGAAACATTTATTTCAACACACAGCAAAGCAACACGATTTCACTAATTTACTGAGACGATAACTACATACAAAAAGCACTTCATCAGTTTTAATGAAGTATTCAGCCTTTAAATTCGAAATGATGTGTAGTCCTAATAGCAATTAAAATATCATTTATTTTTTAAATTTTAGTTTGATGCGGAGAGAGGGGAAAATCACTCCCACTGTCGGACAGGCCTGACCCCCCCCCCCCCACCGCCCAGCCATCGTCCAACACCACGTAAAGTTCGTCAGACCAATTTTCCTTTACTTTATTTGAATTCCCATGCCTAATAGTGGTCTAAGCGCACAATTAATAGGACCATACTAACCATAAAAAAATCTTCCCATGAACTCTACAGGGATTTTATTGAAGGACACTGAACAGACTCTGCCAGGCTTGGTTTGTACCGAAACCCCTTGTCAGACTTGTCAGCAATTTTCTGGAGCCACCATTGATACAAACTGTGTACCTTTAAACTTATTAAAAAATATTCATGTCATTATTTCATCAAAACAGTGCTTTATTTTATTTGTTTCTTTTCAGTTTTTTATTAAATTGAAAACTTAACTCCTAAATCAGTCTGGGACCTAACTTTATAGGCGGGCTGCAGATAGTAGTATAATCAAGGAGGTATCTCCTTGGTATAATGATGTTAACTGGAAAATCTGATCAAAATGTATAGAAATAATTAGTATAATTTGTATAATAAACATAGTATTAACGAGAGTAAATAAAATATTATTATGTCATGTTACACCTCTTCTATTCATCTAATCCAAGGATGGAAAAAGTGTACCCCAATTCATAATCGTATATTCCAATAAATTGTAATAATTTCCCAGAACCAATAGCATGTCGGTTTAGACAAAATGCACTAGTAAACAGGGTGAGCGAGCTGTCCAATCATCGTTTACTTTATAAAGCTACATGGTTAACACAATACTCTGCGTTCAAAAATTCACAGCAAAGATAAAACACGTTCTGCTTTCGTAGGCTTTGAAATTCGTAGTCGAGAAATGTATGTAGCTATGCTTAGCAGATAAAGAAGTATTTACACCGTGTTTGTAAGGTAAGTAATTGAATATGAAGAGTGAGTTGTTTGATGCGTATATTATTTGACAAATTTATAGGTATTGCCCGGGCTGGCCTTCAATTTACAGCACAACAACCTCCTAACTTAGCTAGAGACACAGCAACACGACAGAGGCGGTTACTGTTCTGTAACCAAAATACAGGCCTAAATATAATTGGCGTACCTCCCTCTTGCTTCACCTTTTCGAAAATGTTTGCTTTAGTACTAATTACTGAATGATAAAAGGACATTTGTTTACACATTTATATTAAACAAATGAATGGATGATTCATTAACTCAGATTCTACTCGTGTAATCCACTGTCATCAGCAGGAGTACCAGCCAACCAAGCCCAACCCAAAACAAGTTGATTTTCTTCTCTCTAAACGCGAGTCCGTGATTACTCCGTCTATGATCTTTTCTCGTCGTCATTTCCAAATGTACTGTATTAGGCTAGGTCTGACCTCACAGTACAGGCTACATTTGTAGGTGTACTATTTAGGAGGTGTCTGGTCAAAAGTCCACCCAACCAATTCGAGCAAACCCAAATCGACTTAGGCCTAGTCCTACCCTAATGTGTTGAAAACAATAAAAATGACCAGCAATGCTCTAAGGAAACCATATCATGAATAAGCTAATAGTGCTAGGCCCTAGCCGTCAGACTGCGAGATTGGGTCTGTGCAAGGAATATATCCCCTACAAAAATGTATAAGTGGATATCATGAAGGCCAATTCACAATAGTTTGCAATTCTGCACACGTAAATGTTTTTCTTCTTTCTTTTTTTTTTTTTTAATTAAGTTGAGGCAAACTTTTTAATTTATCCCTTGTACAAATATAATCAGGGTGGCCTTTTTGTGATTACTTTAACCCTGTCTGTGGCTAGCATTTTACAAATGTATGCATCAGGGTGTGTGATGGTAGTGAATTCTAGAATTCAGCCTACATACAATACAAAAAATTATTGCTGACACTCGAACAATGATTTCCAAATATGTCATTGATTGGCAGCAGCGCAACAAAGGGTTTTTTTTCACCGCTTTATGGGTTTGGGATGGTATTTTATTTATTTTTTAAAATTTTAAACCATATTTTAAAGAGAGTGACCCTTCCATCTAAGCCACAGAGGTCAGCTGATGTTCAGGGACACTCTTTAGAAAAAATATAATACATGACAATTCAATACAATACAATAGATGTAGAATCAAAATAGCATTGGAGTACCAGCTGCTACTTGAGGATCTGATTCAACACTAGTCACTAGCGTAAGCTTGGTGGTCTAGTGGTTATTACACCAGGCTAGTTATCTGGAGATAGTGGGTTCGATTCCTTCCTGAATCACATGTAAGATTTTTTTTCTGCAAGTATTTGGGAACATACTGAGTATTCAGTACGATAACACATCAGGTAGGGTAAAACTTCACTTCTAGAGAATGCAAATAAGCATAAAATAAAAATTACAGACAAAATTTTATTCATAACAGTCAACTCTGTAGCTAAATAAATAAGACATTTTTGACCAGCATATTTAATCTCTCCCTACAATTTAGTATGAGTTCCGCAAGTACAACAGCTTCTGCTGGTGTTTCAACAACTGTAAGCAGTGTTTCTGTCGATGCCCTATCGCCTGAAAATATACTGAAAATAAATAAAGCAGATGGGCCGAAAGTGTTGGTGCAACCTGTCAACCCTCCGATGCCAGTAATCTCTCCCGAAGCATTAGGCATCGCAGGTCCTCCTCCTCGTGTTGCCAGTGTTCAGGTATTTCAGTTTATATTCACACTTGTTACCAACTTTTTTTTTGTTACTAGTTGCATGGTAATTAAAACAAAAAGACAGTAACCCTGAAAGCAGACATTTTAAAATTCAACGTATCAATCTATTTGATCATTTTCAGGAATACTAGTGCGAAATATTATCCATCCATACTGTATTTACAGAAAAAGCAGAAGTATTTAAAAACCAATCAGTCAAAACATTGTTGCCGCAAAATGTCTCTCTTTTACTGAGTAAAATCTCTTGTGTTATTTGAAACTAATTTGTAGATTCTCTGGTTTTCAGAATAATTGTTTTTTACACACATTTGGCGATTATGAGCCGTAATATGGCTCTGTCCAGATTATAAAATTTTCTTTGACAAAAAACTGTTGTATGCCCATATATATTGATGATGTGCCTATATGTCATCATTTGGACAGGGCCTAAAATGTTGGTTTTAATCAAATAAAAGAATAAACAAAAATATTTTTTTTAAGCCAATAAAAGAATTTAAATGACACTGATCCTACTTCTTCACATTTTTGTAATGAAAACAGTTTATAAGTCAGTAGAAAGTAAATAAACTTGTTTTGTGACTTATTGGAGGGTGATTACAATACTGTATAATACTTTACTGTATGCTTTAAATGAGTAATAGTATAGTAATAAAACTAATATTGTTGACAAGACAGTCAGGATGGTGATGATGATAATAATGTACTCAGCAGTAATATACATTAACACAATCAACCAACTGCAGTGGCAGATTCAGGAACTCAATATATGCCTAGTAGGCCTAAGTTAATTTTACGGATGGAGGGTCCTTTATTGCTGTAGCCCCACTATGGTTGGGGTGGAGTTACAAAATTGTATGTCTAAGGCACTTCCAAATGGCCAGAAATGGCACTCTCAGACTTAATTTTAAACATCATTTTCTCCCCCCCCCCCCAGTAGTGCCCTGGAATCCACATTAACTGATTTGTTTATTTTATTTCATTCAACTTTGCCTCAAAAAAAAAAAAAACCTTTTTATTTTGGCAATAATATTTTACTACCACTAATACTCTTGATATTCTTTTTTCCAGAAGGATTTGATACCCAATCAGAACCTGGCAGCTCTAAGCTATTTCCCATCGGCAGTAGCCAATGTCAAAGGTCAAGAGAAAACTATTATCGCTGGTTCTTGTAGTATTGCTGCAAGTAGTAGCACACCTGTCATAAGTTTACCGGTTCAAGTGGCAGCCAGTGTTAAACATTACCCCATTAGTACATCAGTACCTAGTAGTGTTGCCGTGCCATTCGTCAGCCAAGTACCACTTGCAAGCCATGACGTAGCTAAAGCAGGTAGAGCGCCACCTATAAGCCATCCACAACAGCCAAGCAAGCCTCAAGGTACAGTAACCACTATTTTTTTCAATATACTCTTTTTTTTTAATACACTACCCGTATCAGATTCCGAATTCATTTTATTTATGAAATAATTTTTGGAGGTTACGAATTTGATAACTTAGAAAGCGAACAAATTTGGTTGAATTTTTTTAGATAACTTGTTTAATGTTACCGATTGATAAGGAATTTTAAACATTTATTACTATAGAATCGAAAGCCAGCATTGGAAGCTTCCCATTAAGAGCCACCCAACCAGTTCAGACAATTGCCTCCACCACTTCACTGCAGACTAGTGCCATTACCACCCTGCCAAAGGTAAGATTTATTATTATTATTATTATTATTATTGTTCTGGGATATCAATTTATTATTATTATTATTATTATTAAATTATTATTATTATTATTTTTCTGGAGTATCAATTTATTATTATTATTATTATTAATAATAAATTATTATTATTATTATTATTGTTCTGGGGTATCATTTAGCAAGGGAAGAGAACACCATCACATTGTTCCCTGAGAAATATCTCCAAGAGTGTTTTCATTGGAATGCAATGCTAAACATATTTTTTAATTATCATTGTTGTAACTTATTAGTGTTGTTATTATGTTATGGATTGTTGTTATTATTGAACAATCAGTTACCTGTATTACACATAATTTGTTTTTAAAACTTTGTTTATTAGACAACAATCGCTCATGTGCCAATAAGAAGCTCTACAGCACCCCAAAGCACTCTCCAGAACATTCAAGATATCCACAGGTCAGTTGCAAATATTAATTGGTAGTCAGTAGTAAGAGGACTGATCAGATAAGTAGTTATTAATTGATCAGCTCATTGTTTTTAATAATTGTGCATGAAGCATGTGTGAGCATAATCACACAGTGATGTTGATTGTTGAACAAACTCTAGTAGACAGCCCTCTAATCCCCTCTATTGAAATAGCGCATTACCTTCAGGTTACAAAGCACTTTTTTTCATCTCTGCTCATCTGGTCCCTGTATGTTGAAGTGTTGCTGCCCTGTTGGAGAATTTGCAGCTACCCCACCAGTTATCCATTTACATTTCTGGGTTGAGAGAAGAAACGCAGATAAAGAGCCTTGCTCAACGACACAGTGAAATGAACAGCAAGTGATTGAAATCGCGACCCTTTACTCCAAACAACGCCACTTCCAACTGAAAGTCCACTACAGCTAAACACAGATGTATTGATTTTTTCAGTGACCATACATTAATAGTATGATATCCACTGGTTGTATCGATTGGATTCATATATTCATGATTGCTAATTATCCTAATAACCAATTAGTATTGCTTATTATTTACAAAGAATATTTTTGTATCTTTTGTTTCACTCGTAAATGTAGGCTACCACCACATGTTTACACACATACGTTGAAAGCATCAACTACCCCTCCCCCAGTGACAATCGAAAGCCGAAGTGAATCTAAGCTGACTCAAAAATTACATGGTAAAAGCGACCAAAAATTAGAAAGTTTCACAGAAAGCAAAGTTACCGGTAAAGGAGACGCCACTAAGTTGGATCCTAAATTGAATTGGCCGGTCTCCACAACCAAGACTTACGCACCAAAGCAGAATATGTTTGGAGTGCCGCGTAGTATTGTCACTTCTACTGCTATTCCAATAACGTATATAAATAAGCCAGTTCCAGCAAGAACCAACGCTACTACTCCAAGTGAGTATTGTGATTCTATTGGGTTTTTTTAAGATGTGTTGTCCTCAAAAAAATTATTTAAATCAGTTTTGAAATTAACTTGCACACTTTGAAATATCATAAAATTATCAACTTACCTGGTAAGTAATATTAAAGCACTTGTGGGACTAAAAGTACTTCCCCTTTGCATGTTTTCTAAATAAAGAGTTGCGGAATATTTGATCAAAGTCGTTGCTATCATTTTGGCTATTTTGGTGGTTAAAATTAAAATTATTAATATTTTAAATACACAAATTTCTATGTTGAGGTTGATCATTTTTATGTTACTCCAAACTGAGCCAGTTAATATCAAAATTTGATTTTGATTTTTTAATTTTTTGTTCTCAGTTTTTTGTTCTTTTTTTTTCAGGGTACGATACAAAAATAATCAATATTTTCTAATGTATTTTAAGGTATACTGTAGTAAAGTAATAAACTTGAAAAAAATATAAGTATTTGAATTGCCTATTTTAATAAATAAAAGAAAAATTTAAAAAGTGAATTACAGTATTACTCATTCAATCAAAATTTCAAAAATGGAAAAATTTCCTCACCAATATTGATACATAAAAAACACTGTTCCTATATATGTTCCTAGTGTTGCATTAACACTTAAATTGACTGGTAATAATTAATTTGAAGTTTTCTGTAATATATATATATATATATTTTTCTCTTCTCTTTAGTTGTAAAACCAGTTGTTGGACAACCAGTTACTTGTGCAGTTCCAAGTACAACAACATCAGTACCAATTCCAATTGGTGTTGCTTGTAAGTAATCTATTTCATCACCGTTGCCACCATCACCGTCATTGAAATTTTTATTGTCGTCATCTTCATATTGAAGAGACAGTGGTTTTAGCCCTTTGGCTTGTTTACTGTATCCTGGATATTTGCAATAATATTTAAAATAACAAGTAATATTTATCATCATCATAATAATCACCATTACCTTTATTTTATTATTGTAATTCATCATTAGACTTGGAGAATAAATATCTATTATCAAATATCTCCAGCCACAAATGTTATCTGAACATGATTCCTTCGTGCATGTTTCCTGTGTGCAGTTGCTCGTTTTTCTCATCCCTGATCATTTTTCTCATCTTCTTAATCGTCATATTCCTCATAATCTTTGATTATGTTCTTATTCTTGTCTGATTCTATAACACTTCGAATTTTCCATGCCTGGTTTAAAAATATGATTTGCAAATTAAAGTCTCGGTGATAATGCTAACAGACTGTATATAATTCCCTTATTTATATTGTTTATTTATTGTAATTAATATCATTATTAATATTTACTTGCAATACATTAACAATCAAGTGGATCACACACATTTTTTTTTTCTTCAGCTAAAATACTTCAGCAGACACCGGCACCACGACCCCATGCAAGCTTTCCGGACAGTCAGGCTATATTCTTAGCCAGTCATCGGCAGCCAGTCAGCAGCGTGACCACAGCAGTACCTGGCCACCCAAGCGTCACAATACCACATAACGTACATCAGTATTCTCCTTACTACTTCTATAGGGGTGATGGTACATGTAAGCTAACTTCTATACTGCTTGATATTTTATGGCGTAAAAACTGTGGTAATTGTAAAAATTAAGTTTCTCAAAGATGGCCAAGTATGTGAATGAACATTTTCAAGTATTTGTAATTTAATAGCTTACATAGGTATTCAGATTCTTTCTCCTTACAGTGTAGTATAAGTACATTCCTGAAATTCCATACCTTGATGGTTAAGATGCTTGCCTTCCAATCCCAGGTCCTGGGTTCAAATCCTGTGACAGCCTAGGATTCTAAGCCTCAGAATGTCACTTGTTTTATAAAGAATCGCATTATTTCATTTATTTAAGAGGTCCCCCGAATATCAGTTAAATTTTCACTTCACTGATTTAACCTGGTAGTAATTAATCAAAATTCATTTTTTTTTGCAAGGAGTGACTGATTTGTCAGTGCCACATATATTGTTACTTAATCTGATGTCAGCATATTTTTATCTTGCAAAAGATTATTTAAATGTATTTGTTCATTTCATCTTTCTACCATAATCATGCCACTGTGCACGATGAACCTAACATTTAAGACAAAACACATTTGTATTCAATGCTGGTTTGAATAACAATTTCAATAAGACACGGCTATAGCAATAACAAGGTATTTTTGCTTTTAGTTCCTAGGTACCAGTTCCAGGCGCCATATGTTGGACATAATAGTTTCACACCCATTACAAATGCAGCTGTAAGGCAGCAGTTGAATGGTGAGTTTTTGTACATACAGTAATTACTGGTTATCACCATCCATCATGTTGTTGTTTTTTTTCTTTGTTTCACAAACACTCTCATCAAGTTTTAGACTCTTGTTTACTAATCATTTGACAATTATCTTTCCCACAAATTATATATCTTTATTATATAATTGTTACAAATTAAAATTTCTAACAAGTGTGTTTCTTATGTGTTCTGTGATTTGTAACAGTGATGTTTAATAATACTTGTTTATTTCCTTTCAGTCAACCCGCAGGTATCGTTGCAAGCTCCGTCAAGTGCCGGAGCTGCAGCCACAGTTGCGGCAGTTGCACGTGCAGCTACAGTTGCAGGCGGCCCAGTCAGGCTGAATCCAATGGTTGCAGACTTGAGGACAACCGGTACTCCTTATACAATACCTTCTTTAGGTTCAGCTGATGGTAATTTCCTTAAACTTTATTTTTTGTCTTGTATTGTAATGCGTACCGGAGTAGCTCTGTATCGGGGGCACCTGTCCCCATTGTATGTAAGAGATCTCAATACCATTGTGTTAAAATGAAATAAATGACAATGATTGTAAATAAGGATGACGATGACTACTATGATAAACTAATACTAAGGATACCTCTGTTAATAAGAATATTACAGGAGGTACTACTACTACTAATAATTATTATTATTATTATGATTTAGAAGAGGTTTGGTGGAGTGGGAATCGTTTGGTTTCCAACCTCGAGGTCAGGGTTCAATCCCTCGCACTTTATCTACATTGTGTCAGTCTACCCAACTCTATCAATGGGTACCAGCAAACCTGCGATGAACTAGCGTCCCATTCTGGGGGTGTATTACACCATCATCCATTACAGAAACTGGGGATAAGCTTAATTTACTTATCATAATAAATATGATATTAATAGTACCTGTAAATATGATGAGGTCGTACTTAAAGGGATGTAAGTGTTTTTTTTTTATGCTCATTAATTATCTTCTGACTTCAAAAATATATATTTTCAAACTTTAGTATCACCCCAACAATTTTCAGGTGAACCGATACCAGGAACCATATACGCTGCTAATGCATCTGCAACGACGAATCAGTCCGTTACCACCCCTGGATCCTCACCTAGGCCTAGTATCCTGAGGAAACGGCACAATGATGGGTACGTTGCTATTGTTGTTATTATTGTTATGCTTTTCTACAATGTTTTTGCATCTTGTTAAACAGTGAATGCTATGATAGCTGACACATGTACAGGGAAGATTTCCCTTTGTTAGCTACCACCTCGTGTGAGGAAAATAAAATTATGAATTATGAGTTATGTAGTGGAGATATAGATTGGTGGTTAAAAGTTTGCCTTACAATCCCAGCGCAGTTATACAGTACTGGAATTTTATTAGGTTCCTCTTAATGTTTGGTAACTAATATAACTTAACAATTATTTTTTGTGAGATGTTAAACATTTTTAACCTGTGTTTTAATTTTAGTATTTTTTGGTTAATTTTAATCACATATTTGTTTATGATGTTTTATGTATTTTCCTAATCTTTTAATAGTTGGATGATTGTATTTTTGTATTTTCCTAATTAAAAAAATCTGTAAATGAATATTGCAACATCACTCTCTTTGTTTAGATATTTTTATTATCCTTATCATTATAGGAACATGTTTGTTTATTTTGATTTAATTTTAGAACTCCTGCTTCATTGCGTAAACCATTGTTCCAGACGACAGGAGGAAGTGGTCCTGCTAGTCCAAGTTCAAAGATTGATCAAAGGCAAACTGCCTCTCCAAAGCAAAGGTACTTCATCAACATTTTTTCAAAAGGAACACAAGAAAACACTTGCTAATGATACTAATAGTTATAAGTATAGTGTTTTATTTACATAATGCATGTTCCACAGACTGTCTTGTGCATTGCACAAAAAAAAAATTTTTTTTTATTTTTTTTTGCAGTGAATCGTTGTCAAGTAGTCAGCAATCAACAGAGAGCAATGTATCAGAATCAAATTCTGCTCAGTCTGTGTTGATTAAGATTAAACAAGAGAAGAAAGATGACTCAATATCGATGCTATCAGGTCTACCAGATTCCCTACATCTGCCAGAAAAAAACGAGGAGCCATCACCAAGGAAACGGCAACGTAAACAACAACACAAGTAAGAAAATATGATTCAGGTTTTTGTTGATACAGTTGTGATTTCAATTTCTTTTATTGTTACGAAAGCTATTGTGGCAAATATCTGCTTAGACAATTATGAGAGGACATAAAAAAAAAAAAGACACCAAAAAAACTGATTCGAATTACAATAACTATGATTCAAGGGTTAAGGACATTACTCTTCCAAAGTCCTAATGACCTGCATACCCTCATCTTAACTGAACAAATCATCAAGGGTATTGACGTGTGTCCACTAAAGTCCTATTGACCTGCGTACTTCATTCTAACCTATGTATCATGAGATAGGGACGTTACTTCAGTAAGGTCCTAATTACCCGCATGCCCCCACCCTAACCAGACTATGCATAAAGGGGTAGGGATATAACTCCACTACGATCCTAATTACCCCTGCATACCCTGTCCCTAACTGAGCTATAATAATTCCTAACGACCCTCATACCCAAATCATAACTGTACTATGTATTATAGGGTAAATGCAATATAAATTCCATTATATACTGATGAAGTATTTGTTGGAATGAGTTTGATGATGATGTTTTCTTTTCCTTGTAGAGTTGCTTCACAGCAAATGTTAGATGACAAGTCCACAGATGAAGAAACGGAAACAAAGAAAGATTCAACACCATCGAAAAAGGAGAAACTAGAAAAAAAACGTGAGTAGCTTGAATTTTACATGGTTTAAACACTCATTGGTACAAGCAAGATGGTATAAATTATCTTTGCTTCAAGCGATACCGTGTGAACAATCGATTTGGAATAAATCAACATTGATTACACAAACATGGTGTGAACCATTTTTGATGAAACACATGTAAAACCAATCATTTGTACAAGATAGACAAAACATATAAACCATCTTTTGTATTAAAATATATAACCCATCATTGGTACAAGCTTGTCCAAACAATTATTGGTTCAAAATTGTGTTAATCCATCATTAGTACTACATTATGTAAACCTTAAGCATTATTACGATGTTTTGAAAACATTGGTATATGATTTTTATAAATTAACATTTGTCAGAGATAATATAAACCATCAGTTGTAAAAGATACTGCCATCTCTCTTTTGTTGAGATGTGCCACACCCATGGTTTGCTAAATAGAGCTCATAATTATCATAATAATATTCCACAGAGCGAAAAATGAAGTTAGTTCAGTATATCAAACGGTCGTCATTGAAACTTCTGGATAGCTACCACCAAACATGGAAGCCAGCTCACAATCATTTCCAACGGTATTCGGATGTCAAGGCAAAAGGTTAGTGTTCTATCACCATTAATTAATCATTCATGTTTCAATTTTAAGTTATTCATGATCCTGATCATATGAGGCATGTTGTGGCAAAAATTGAATTTCAAGTTATTAGTATTTTCAGATACCTGAGTATCTGATCTTTAAAATGAGCGGTCATTCATTGAAATTGGACATTTCAAGCCTAAGTTATTGGAAAGTGAAAGTACAGTACTCTTAGAGTCAAGATAAACATGATTTTGAGTAATTGCCTTCCAAAGTTATTGTGCATACATTGTTTAATAGAATTAACTATCTAAATAACTTTAAATAAATTATTTGTGACCCCTTCCAGAACTAATACTCTGGGACATGATTAATAAGACATTAAACTGTTGATCAATAGTGAAAAAAAATTAGGATTTTTTTAGGCAATTTTTTGCTCTCCCATAATTATAGCTCATTTATTCAATACTGGCCTGTGCGACAACTTAACCATTTTGCCACGACATGCCTCATATATTGTAGATGCCCCCTGTGGTTGTATCATGTACTGTAGTAGTAATATCTAAGTATTGGAAGACAATCCCCTTTAATTGTGTTGATTATGTGGCTCTTTAAAGTGTGCATCTGACCAAAGACAGTAGGGTTCAAACACATGGGAAGCAGCTGCTGGACAGGGTGAGCCTGTCTGGAGTGTCAATCAAACTTAATTAACCAATCAGAACAAGTCCAAGAATATACACTTATCCCACAAACACAGGTTTTTCTCACTAATGCATGTGTTTAGCTATCGTGGGACTTAACAATAATAATACCTAAGGGGCCGCGCTTAGCAGAATGGTCCAATGAGTTAAAACCACTGCCCTATTGCTCATCTCAAACCCAGTCTGCAACTAAAGCCGGCCACTCACTCCGCCCAACGATCAGCAGCCGACGCAATATAATGCAGAATGCAATGCCACGGCACACGTGTAATGGATGGTTTTTAATGACGACCCGTTCAGACTGTCACCGGCCGTCAGCAGACTGCATCGCATAATATATCGCCGACGGGCGGAGTTGAATTCTTTGTACGACCTTGAGTGCCAAACTTAAGATAATAATCATATCCCAGGCTTACATAGTGCATCATACTAACAAGGCCTCTATGTGCTTTACAATACTACCCTGGTCATTGGATCGAGGCAGAATTCCATGTTGCATCAGGGATATGTTTGCAGTAAATCCTAAATGGTATACAGTAGAACCTCGTTTTTACGTACCCCAGTTATACGAACCCTCGGTTTTATGTACGCCTCGTATCGACGATGACGTCATCAAAAACCCCGAAAATATTCAAAACAAACAGCCCTTTTCAGAGCAACCATAAGTAAAAAGACTATAACAATAAACTATAACAATAAACAAACCATATTGCAACGTATTTTCATTAAACAGCAACGTTGATTGAGTCTAATACCGGGTTGTTATAATCTAAAACCACGTGAACTAAGTGAGATGAACAACTACCGATGGTGCTCAAAATAATTGCTGGACATCAAGACAGCTGTCTCTTATACACATCTAGATGTGTATAAGAGATATAAAGTGATGAATTAATACACTAGACACACGGTTTTATTTGAACACTTTATTATGACATCGTAAAGTGATGAATAAAAACACTAAACTCATGGTTTTATTCGTAGGCCTAGAGGCTTGTTGGTCTAGCCTAGCTAGGTAACATCGTTCGTTCATACATACTGTATGTATATTGAGCATTACGTACATATTAGGTCAAAGGTTACTACAAATTTAACCCAACTTCTATTTTACGAATCCCCCGATTTACGTACGCCTTCCGGTCCCGTACCGTACGTAAAATCGAGGTTCTACTGTATAATATTTAATGAATGTAACAAACTATATTGTGTATTGTTTTTGTATTTTTTGGTAAAAATATTTAAATATATACATATACTTACATTACATACTACACCAATTTTTACTTCATGTTCTGTATTTAATATTATTCACATAGATTATTATTTGGAAAGTAATTTTGTATTTCAAATTTTTCTTTTTTAGATGAAAAGAAAGCAGGAATTCATGAGATAGCCAATCAGAGAGGAATCCTTAAAAAGGCTGATGGATGGAAAATCAAACATGTTGGTCTACAGCTCACAGACATGGTGTGCTAAAGTTCTTCCTATGTTACTTTTTAAATAATAAATAGAAAATAATTATCCCTACACCCGCCCAGTTACCTGTTACATCCCACACACAGCTTGTTACCTCCCACACTCAATCTGGTACATCCCACACACAGCCTGTTACATCCTGCACACAGCCTGTTGCATCCTGCACAGCCTGTTATAATCCCACACACAACCTGTTACATCCCACACACAACCTGTTACATCTCACCCACACACAGCCTGTTACATCTCACACACAGCATGTTACATCTATAACCTGTTACATCCCACACACATCCTGTTACATCCCACACAGCCTGCTGCATCCCACACTCAGCCTGTTACATCCTCCTTACAGCCTGTTACATCCCTCACATCCTATTACATTTTACACACAGCCTGTTACATCCCATACGTAGCCTGTTACATCCTACACACAGCCTGATACATCCCACAAATAGACTGTTACATCCCGCACAGCCTGTTACATCCCACACACCGCCAGTACAGCGACACAGCCTGTTACATCTCACACACAGTCTGTTACATCTTCCATACAAAATGCTGTGTACAAATGCTATGTATTCAATGTAGAGGAAAATTTGCCTGGCCTCAACAAAACCCTTTTATACTGACCCACTCTGACCTGAAAATTATGCCATGATCCTTGTTGCAGTCACGCATTGTAAATGTGCAAATACAGTTATCATCCTTTCAACTGAACAAAACAATTTCTGATTGTCGTTTTAGATTGGTCAGGAACAAGAGGTGTATGAGCAAATGCAGGCAATCAAGGAAGGCATGAGCAGTCAACTTGGCGACGGTATCATCAAGACAGAAACCAATCGCATTTATGAGCTAATCCAGGTATACTCTAAAAATTGTTATTGTGTTTTGTTAGCATCATTGAATGAATTTAAATTACATTTTTAATATATTTCTACACTATTAAATTTTGTTACAAGTTGGCCATATTTTTTATGGTTAAACATCATCATGCCCATATTAGGCTTGCCATCCTGAAACCAGCATACTGTTGTTGTTGAGTAATTAGCATAAGAATGTGGCAGTATTGTTTTTTTTAGTACGGAGAAAACAGTACTTTTACTAATAACTTTGGCAATAGTAAGTCAATTCCAATAAATGACCTATCATTTTAAAGTGTATAATGTAGAGAATATGAATATATTTAAAAGTTAATTTTCCTGTTTTGGGCACTAATGTTGGTTTTGGCATACTCCCGATGGACAATTCACAGCCTCTAACTGAACTACTGAGAAACCACTGGCCCAATTAACCTATTTAACTACCACATAAATAATAACTTTTTAATAATATAATTATAATTATATTTAGATTAGAAACTTAGAAAAGATAAAAATAAAAAATATACAAAAAATGGTGACGAGTCGTTTTATAATATTAAAGTGATTGGTGGTGATAATGTTTTATAACTTATTGTGATTATCAGATTTCTCTTTGTATAATAAACAGCTTAATTTGAAACCAATATTCATTTTAACAGGGCAATATCCAGAGAAGTCAGTATGTCTTGGAACACATTGAAGAAACAAAGAGTATTATGGGAAGACTACTAGATCACAAACCAAAGGTTGTCAGTATCATCAAGAAACATGCCAATAAAAGACATGCGAAGAAGAAGCATGCTTCGTAGCACCATCAGCGTGATGCTTTATCTGAAAACATCGACACAACACCTGCTATGAAGTCTGCTACTTGGCACCATTAGCATTGCTGCTTTAAGAAGCAAACAAAACCCGCTAAGACGTTAGCATGCTACATAGCACACCATCAGCCTGCTACCTCAGCAAGAAACATGCCTAAAAGACTTGGTAAGAAGTAGCAATGGCACATAATGTCCATATGTTACTGCAGCAAGAAATGTGCAAACAAGACTGACACAGCAATGTTTGCGTGCTACTTCAGCAAGAAACACGCAAGCCAGTCCTGGTAAAAAATAGCATGGTACAATGCAGCATCGGCCTGCTACTTCAGCAAGAAAACTCAAAAATCTGACTTGCTAAAAAGTAGCATGTTACAGTGCAGTACCAGCTTGCTACTTCAGCAGGAAACATGCCTACAAAACTTAAGCAGTAGCAATGCCACATATCTTCTACTTCAGCAAGAAACACAAAAATCAAACTTGCTGAAAAAGTAGCATGCCACATAGCAACATCAGCCTGCTATTCCATGATCATGAAGGAAGGAAGGAAGCTGATATAAAATCATATTCTGAAGAATAATTAAATATCAAAAATTGAGTTATGTATGTATAATGCGAGGAGTGTGTAAATAGTTTGAGTTGAAACCTGCTTTCCATAAATCGCTACTCTCGCTACAGTGTTTTTACTGCAATTATTACGCTGCAAAGGCCCCTTGACTGGGCAATCAGCATCGATGAAAGCTTTTTATGGAAACTGGATGGACATCTTTTATATAATTTGCGTGCTTGGAATACTATGTAGTGTACTATATCAGCTGATTGTGTACAGGGAGTAAAAACGTGGTATGATATTTATTATAGAAATAGTGACATATAAGTACCACTTACTGTTAATTGACATTATTTTCAACTTGGTATCTTGTCTCTATTTTCTAAAAAGATAATGTTATGTTGACATGACAGTGAGTGTAAAGAAATTCACATTCAGAGAGTTAATTGATTTCGTCAATCAGGTATTATTTAACCTCATATTTGGCATTAAATTTACATATTGTTTCTCTTATCAGTTTTGTGAATTCGGCGAGTCGTACAATGTGATAAACATTTGTATTGAATCGTTGACACATAAAAATTGAGGGTAGCTGTTATATCTGTATATTTTGCATCAACAGCATCCTGACATTCTGTAATGTAGACAGATTATGAAATGTATTTTTGTTTGGTTAATTAAAGTTGCTGCAACTGCCATAAAAAGGTGAAAAATTACCAATACTGTATAAATATATTAGCACAATTAGTGTTTGGAAAAATATATTTAACACATTAATTATGAATATTTTATAGAAAAAAAAACATTTCTATTAATAGTAAACCATGTGATGTACAAAACATTTTTCTATTTGTGGAAAAGCAATTGCTTGTTAATGTTTATTTTTCTTTGTTTATTCTTTTGTAGTTGTATCAATACTGCCCTCAAACTCTTGGCAGTAACAATGCTAAATACCGTGTACTTTAAGTGATGTATAAGAGTGTATAGTTTTCAATAAAACTGATAAACTGTAGATTTTGCTTGAGTGTTTTTGTTCTTTGTGTGTGAAGCCATAACATGCAGTGTTGACGGTAGTCGAAGCTCTTGTCTGTGCGAAATAAACAATTTGTTGTGAGAAAATTCAATTCAATAATGACATTGATTGCTGAACAGTTTTTGTTGAAATAATGATTACAGTATTTAGAAGCTACATAATAGGTGTACCATAGTTATGTCAGAATAATTTTGAAACCAGAACCTCTGAGGGCCAAGGCATTCGTGAAATATTGCACTACTGTATTTGCGATGATGTAAACATGGCAACAAACGAAACCAGACCTCAAGTGTTAATCCAGCAGTTTCATTTAGCATAATGGACTATTTAAGCCAAAATAATAATAATTATTATTATTAATCCCGGTATCAGGTTTTTTTGTTTTGCTGGCTTAATGCCAATGATAAAAAGGTGTAGTAGCTGTGGCGGAATTAGGATGTATTTTATGGGGGACGTGCTGTCCGATACGGGGACTAGAGCTCGTGGGCCGGAGCTTGTGGAAGATTTTGTGAAGGTGTTCCCCTTCCAAATGAAATTATCCTGTCAAGTATCAAGTTTGTTTTTATCAAACCACAACACAATTCTATGCTATGTCTGTATCCTGTAAAAAGTCCCTAGAGTCCAATCCATCACATTTAAGACATTTGGACAACGAAAGTAAACAACATTCCATAGATGTTTTCCTCTTATACAGTTTACTAGTCTTTTCAAGGATAGGGGTACTGTCTTTCATTAGTTATGGCTTTAATATTTGTCAAAATAGAAAATTATTAAATAGGGCACGACGTCATATCCAATTTTGCTTGGGTACGGACGTTCATAACGAACAGATATTTTGCCTGTTTACAAAAAACAGCGTAACATACATGTCACCAGGGAACAGTGAACTGTTCCCTGATGTCACATACATACATACACACGAATGGTATCCTAAAGTTCCTTTGCTTGAAAGCATAGGAACCCAAAAATGTAAATCTTCACAGCTTTTGTCAAAATTGGGCGATTTTTGTAGCTTCTGGAAGAACTGGTTAAATGGGCTTTCTAACACATTTAATTGTATTGTGCTGTGTGTGGTGACACCCATTGTCAACTGACTGTTCTAGTTTCTGTCAAATTTTGCTTGTTCATGAGAGTTTGAGACCGTCCCCTTTTCTATCAGACTTCTGCAACTATCGGGACACATTGGACCCTTTAAGATTGAGAATCTAAACTGACACCACACCACCAATGTATATTCACCTTCAAGTCTTTGCCAATGAAAAACAAAATAGTCATTTGCCATTACGCTACAATTTAATACCACAAACACAAATTATTCTGCAAACATGACTAATTCACTTTTACAGATTACATTATCAATTAAATACAATTGGCGGTGGTACCACGTCTAACTAAAGCATTACTTTACAACATAGCAGTTTTTTTTTAACTTATGTGGAAAATATTAATTAATATATTTTATATTTCCACAAATAGTTAAAAAAAAAATCACTTGCATGAAGTGCACCATCCCGACATCTATTTCAACATTTATATTAACATTTGTATAATTTTGTCAACTGAAGCAAGATTGTACCTTGTATCACAAATGCAACATTTTTACATTACCACATTTTTTTACATGTAATTTACTGTACACCAAAAAATCCCATCAGAAGGTCAACATTAATAAAGAATAAGAAATACGCTGTGTAGATCTAACATAAAACTTCTAACGCCCATTTAGTATATCTACTATAATACTGAGTTGATCTACTACATTATAGGCTCTTCTCATTAACCATCACCCCGCTGATCCCCAAAGAGAATTGGGGTCAATTTCGGCAAAAGTAGGCCTACATTGATTTAACAGCAATATACATATGATGTAGAAAATAAAGTTATATATTTTTTCCTCTACGACATACAGGTACTGAGAAGGGTGGCTCATTTTCGTAGGACAGCTGCTGCCTTAATGCAGCAAAATTATTCATGGATTTAAATTGCCACACCAGTTTTATTACCCTGTACTCTGTACAGCTTCCCACAAGATCTTTATAAATGCATCCATAAACCTTTCTCTTTTTTTATGATAAAAAGTTAAAATTTTAAAATCTTCTCGTTAAAAAATACCAGCTTTTCTTGGGGATATGTGCTTGGAATTAGGATACACTATTGCTTGGAGATAAATCATCCCCTTGTATAACAAGACATGTGTACAAACACACATTATATCTAACTCATTATATATACTATAATGTACGAGAATGGTAATTAGCACCACTAAAACATTCAAAACAGAGAAGCAAGTCGCTTTACTATATCGTAATAACTATGTCTTGAAACAGTTATCTGTTGCGAGGCTGTAGCATGAGCATCTTTCTGGTGGATACTGACAAACAACATATGTTCATTATCATCATTAATAATTAATAATATTACAGTATTAATACTACATGTTACAAGATTGCTTATATAAACAGACAAAAAAAAATAGATTAAATTTGTTAAATAAATAACATGATTATTATTAATAATCAATAATTGTTACAGATGCAGTAAAACTCAAACTTGTAATGACTTTAAATGATGGCAACATTCTAAAAAAAATTCCAATTCAAATATGCACAATTCTCTCTATACAAGTACCATAGCAATCAGCAAGTGATCATGCATAGGGTGATTCACCATTAAACCTCATTCATTTCTTACCACTTATCCAGAGTTAACAATTTAATTATCTATCTGAATTAAGACTCTAATTCAACCTAATTTACATACAGTAATTCATTGACTGCACCATTAGTAAATGAAAGATACATATCCCTAATAATTATTAAGAAAGTATAAACTCTACAAATGATTTAGAGATGAATTAAAATTGTTAAATCAAATTCTTGTGTGTTATTATTTAAAAAAAAAAAAAAAAAATTGGAATTCATACTCATGATATACCATTAAGCTGGCTTAAAAAATATTTGATAAATCAAATGCGATATGTTACTATGACAATAATAAAAAAAAGCAAATTAAAATTGTATCTGCAAAAAGTATATTTGAAATCTTAGTTATAATATGAGTATGAACATGTAGTACGATTCAAATATTTTATTTAATTTATGTTTTTTTGAATTTTTAATCATTTTAGATGTGTATAAGAGACAGGTAATTTACTGTACACCAAAAAATCCCATCAGAAGGTCAACATTAATAAAGAATAAGAAATACGCTGTGTAGATCTAACATAAAACTTCTAACGCCCATTTAGTATATCTACTATAATACTGAGTTGATCTACTACATTATAGGCTCTTCTCATTAACCATCACCCCGCTGATCCCCAAAGAGAATTGGGGTCAATTTCGGCAAAAGTAGGCCTACATTGATTTAACAGCAATATACATATGATGTAGAAAATAAAGTTATATATTTTTTCCTCTACGACATACAGGTACTGAGAAGGGTGGCTCATTTTCGTAGGACAGCTGCTGCCTTAATGCAGCAAAATTATTCATGGATTTAAATTGCCACACCAGTTTTATTACCCTGTACTCTGTCCAGCTTCCCACAAGATCTTTATAAATGCATCCAAAAACCTTTCTCTTTTTTTTTATGATAAAAAGTTAAAATTTTAAAATCTTCTCGTTAAAAAATACCAGCTTTTCTTGGGGATATGTGCTTGGAATTAGGATACACTATTGCTTGGAGATAAATCATCCCCTTGTATAACAAGACATGTGTACAAACACACATTATATCTAACTCATTATATATACTATAATGTACGAGAATGGTAATTAGCACCACTAAAACATTCAAAACAGAGAAGCAAGTCGCTTTACTATATCGTAATAACTATGTCTTGAAACAGTTATCTGTTGCGAGGCTGTAGCATGAGCATCTTTCTGGTGGATACTGACAAACAACATATGTTCATTATCATCATTAATAATTAATAATATTACAGTATTAATACTACATGTTACAAGATTGCTTATATAAACAGACAAAAAAAATAGATTAAATTTGTTAAATAAATAACATGATTATTATTAATAATCAATAATTGTTACAGATGCAGTAAAACTCAAACTTGTAATGACTTTAAATGATGGCAACATTCTAAAGAAAATTCCAATTCAAATATGCACAATTCTCTCTATACAAGTACCATAGCAATCAGCAAGTGATCACACATAGGTTGATTCACTATTAAACCTCATTAATTTCTTACCACTTTAATATCCAGAGCTCGCAATTTCATTATCTATCTGAATTAAGACTCTAATTCAACTTAATTTACATACGGTAATTCATTGACTGCACCATTAGTAAATGAAAGATACATATCCCTAATAATTATTAAGAAAGTATAAACTCTACAGATGATTTAGAGATGAATTAAAATTGTTAAATCAAATTCTTGTGTGTTATTATTTAAAAAAAAAAAAAAAAAAATTGTAATTCATACTCATGATATACCATTAAGCTGGCTTAAAAAATATTTGATAAATCAAATGCGATATGTTACTATGACAATAATAAAAAAAAGCAAATTAAAATTGTATCTGCAAAAAGTATATTTGAAATCTTAGTTATAATATGAGTATGAACATGTAGTACGATTCAAATATTTTATTTAATTTATGTTTTTTTGAATTTTTAATCATTTTTTTTACATTGAAACAATACTAATTCAAACATATCTCATCATTTCTTTATGTCGTCTGTAACATATAACCTTTACCATTTAGGTATAAAAATAGAAGTGTGTTACTTGCAGCACCTGTGGACCCTCCGTGCATATAACTCATCTAAACATATTCATCAAATTCACATAATATGACTGAAACATTGAGTTTTCAAGATAAAATCCTTAAAATTTAGATGAAATTGGCAGAGGACAGCTGGTTGTTGCATTAACAGTGATATGCCGCATGCATCATGATTTCATCGTCCAAGTAGTAAGTTAGGCCTCTGTACCTTCTCCTTCGACTCCCTTCAAACGAAGACGAGCAAAATCCTCAAATATCAAATCATCATCTTCATCCTGGCGAGTTGGTTCAACACTAAACAAATAAACAAAGAAACATGTTATTTCTCTAGTGATTAATTTTAATTCTACTTTGGTGCAGTTTTTCCAGCAAAGCTGATCCATTGGACCCTGTGTTCTATAAAAAATACGATTCACACGAAACTTTTACATAGGACCTGTGCTCATTGTTACAAGATATTCATACTGCAAAAAGCTGATAGACGATAAAAGATGTTTGACGCCACAGTGACAGATAAGCCGAGTCCTGATAACCATGTGAATCGGTAAATATTTTAGGATAATAACAGGTTTCAGCCATGTCTGTTTTCACATCATGAATATTACAGTACTCAGAACATGTGCTGATTTTATGTACGCACATGGACAGATATGCATTAACAGACAGAAAATTTTGCTGCATTTCTCGTCTGAATCGGGTACAAGATATGAGGGTTTTTCCAAAAAACAAAGAACTGAGCCAAAACCTTAAAGGCAAGGCAAACTCCTTACCAGAAGTTCCATCCCAAAATTTTATAAATATTGGAATACTATATTGTTTTTTGATTTACGCATTCAGAAATTAAACAACAAACACAGGACTAAAAGTGATCCATACTGGAAGGTGAGTGTACACACTGACCTGAAATAATCATACACTCACAAGTAAACATTAATAATAACAAATAATATAGCAATAATATAAAGAAACAATAAAATTATAGAAAATATTACATAAAAAAAACCAAATATATATATGAATTAATTATAATAATTCTTTCACCATCAGCAAGTTTGAACAATACAGGAGGGAAAACAGTGTGATATAAATAAAGTTTTAATTTTTTTGTGACAAGTCCTATGATTTTCCCTGTGATGTGACATCATTAAATACCAATATGTGCAAATCACTAGTGTATGTCCAAGAAAATGTGACAGTGTGGACGTTCAGTTGTCTCATTAGGTGCCATTTGGTAGAGTTGGTTGGAATTCACAAGATCTGAACCGTGGAGAATAGAAAGTGACATCTTAACCACAAAGCTACTGGTGACTGATCGATAGCATGATGCCCCAAAGGCTTTTAAGTTCAGTAAGATATATCAGTAGCAAGAAATACGTAAAGATAGCAGATGAGACTTAAATCAACTATTGAAGATATAAATGATTTATAACAAACACGGGGGTGCCATACTACCAAAATGTCCACCAGTAAAATCTGACATTTTGAAATCTGTGCTAATAACTAATAGAAAGTGCTTCTAGTTTACTAGAGTGGTCCACAAAACATAAAATTTACTATACAAAAACAGCTCCCAACAATATCTTCCCCTATCCCTTTCAGAGAGTGACATGTAAACATAAAATGTTTAATATGAATACACAATGGTGGTCAAATATCATTCATTTTAAATATCTGTTTAAATATGATTGGTCACAACTATTATTATGGTCATCATGTGTGGGTTAAAAATACAACAAAAAAATAAAGATATGTTTGCATAGGATAAATTTTGACTAAGATGGAAGGCAATTTTAAATTGAATTTAACATTTTAAAGTAACATAAAAATGATCAACTTGAACATAGGAATTAGTGTATTTAAAAATGTTTACCCATAATTTTTACAGTGAAAATTGATAGGAAACACTTCCAGGCACTGAAAGTGTTTTTCTTATTTTTTTTGTCATTATCCAGTATGTTATACTCATTATAAATGAGCAGGTTAATTACAAAATAATTTTTTTAATGATTTTTTGCCATTTTCTGGGGACAATATATCTTTAATCAATTTTGATTGTAAAGAGTTTTTGTCTACATAACCTTGAGCTAACATTCTGAACATCTTCACGCATTCATAGTACTGTACGTGTGAGCCATTAACAAACAGCTTTTGTTCACTGAACATGGTCAGACTTTTTTTGCATGGTTAAAATGATCCAACATGATCGATTTATGACTTTGTCCTGGCCATAATTGGCTTTGTTGAACAAGTAGCTTGGATAATTTCATCAATAATGTTACACAATCTGTACTGTTTTTCAAGGTTTGTTTTGGTCTATCTGACCAGGAACAGTACATGGTTACTTTATCCAAAAAAGTTCAACCCAAACATGGCTAAATATATTATACTAACATCTTCTTTTTAGTGATCTCAAACTGGTTTCGAAATTTGTTTACACTTGTTTTCAAATGATTACTCTTTACAACATTTGTTGCATTGTGTCTGCTTGCAACATTTGTTGCATTGTGTCTGCTTGCAACATTTGTTGTACTGTGTTTGCTTACAACATTTGTGGAGACAGAGAGTAGCTGGTACAGGTTTACCGGGTAGGTCAGATAAGAACAGACCCTTAGGGGATAAGCAAGTTACTGTATACAAGATACTATATTACAACTACAACATTGTTGTCAGACATTTGTTTACAACATTTTGATGACAAATTTCTTACATCAATTGTTTAGTCATGTAAATGCTTACAACACTTGTTCATTTCTTTGTGTTTGTGTTGTCAAGATATTGTGTGAACAAGTACTACGTCACTAAAACAGCACACAACTAATACATTGAACACAAACATTGTACAAGTGAATTCTGTAACTACTATGAGACACACATTTAAAATTCTGGATCTTCAAGTGAACCACGAAATACATAATGGGATATTGTTGAAAACTCAATACCGTAAATGTCCTAATAAGTTGCAGCGTGCTTATACAATTTTTCAAAACCTTAGAGTGGTTCTTATTTGGGCAAGGCAATTCAACAGAAGGACGCACATCTCGGGACATCACAGGTTGTAACTCTGGCATCGACATTCTAAGCGCCGCGCGTCCCTACACGCTGAACGTCACAAAAACCATAACAACCAGACCATTTAACCATCAGCGTGTGACGAATTACTCACGCGCATGTTAGTTGCCATGATAATTGCGCGTCGTGCAGTGATTACAAAGGCTTAATGATACTTTGCACTAACATTAGACTGCAATTATATTCTTCATTTCAACATTAATTTTACCCATGTTGTGGTGTTTTGTCGTTCATGAGACTCACTTCGCAGAAAATAAATTTTCTGTATCTACTCAAATGTTCGTTTTGTGCACCTTAGTCCAACATTGACAAAATGACAGTTTAATGTTACATAAGAACATGAAATTTTATAAAATTCGTAAATTTTCAATTGCTATAACTTTTCATTTTCTTGGTCAATTTTCACAAATCAAATTGCAGTTTATAGAAGCATTTAACAAGCTTGCGGTCAAAAGAAATCAGAGTTAACAGACATTGCAAAGTACCCAAAATTAATAAAATAGTAACACCAAAAAAACGTATGGCACGCATAGACTAATAACTGACAGCTGTACTCGACTAGTATCGGATTGTCGATGCCACAGTGACGATCAAAGGACTGTACGTATGCGCTATGTTTGAGAGCGGAGATGTGCGTCCTTCTGTTGAATTGCCTTTTTTTTAAATAGTCATATGACGTCTTGCAGTGTTAGTTTTGTACTGTATCTTTTATCTTTGTGAGAAATTAGTTGGTTTGTATCATACTTTTTTTATGATACGAAAAACATCAAGAAACGTTTAATATGTACTCTCAATTAAGTACTGTAAATAATAGAATTTATCTCAAATATATAATTTGGTGTGGTCAGCAGTGTATCTAAGAGTTTTGAAATAGAGGGCTGAGGTGGGAGTGCAAAGGTGAAGTTGGTGGCTTGATGATTAGGCGAGGGGGGGGGGGGCGATAGCTCACAAAATAATGTGAATATTTAACCCCGCCACCCCCACCTCCTTGATAAGCCAATGGGTGTGGTGCTCATTCAAGAGTGGCACCTATTTAAGAGAAACGCTTATTAGATCATTTATGGTATGTGAATTTAATCAACATGTATCCATGTATTTCTGCATTGTACTTGAAGAGTCCAAAAATGTGACAACCAAACACTGGTTCTACCTGCTGGCTGCCGAGTTACATGTCATCACCTTTCCCACGCAATATTTGTTGGCTCGCTTATTAGGATCATGCCTGCATTGTTTGAATAACGTGGGTTATTAGATACGTTCAAGAATGCAAAATGCTAATATTTGTAAATAGTAGGTAATCACATGCACAATGTTAGATGCAATATTAAATGCAATGATTAAATATTAAAAGCACATACTTTATAAACAACGGTTTACAAATATCACACATGGATATTACATCATCATATTATTAAACATCTGGATATTAAGTCAAAAACGGTGATATGCATAATTAACACCTGGATTACATATAAATGAAAATTATACAATACAGATATCAAGATGAAGCACATATTAAACATCTAGATTTCACACACATTTAAAAACTGGGATATACACGTATAGATCTAGATGAAACACATAGCTTTTTACTGGCCCAAATTATAGGCAAGTTTAAAACACTTGACGACATGCATAGCGGAAACAACCAAATAAGTGCTGCAGCACTAGGAGAAGCCAATAGGGCCAGGCAAAAAGGTAGATAAGTGGAATGACATAGGTTACTCACTTGTATGAGCAAAAATAGTTGATTATAATTTAATAGTACAGTATTACCAACTCCTTGGTATTACTATAGCTCCATGATCCTATCCCGGAATATCAGGGATATCACCCCTAGGTGAGGGGTGGGCTATATTTTGGCCACCTGTGGTTTGGCCTACTACGTGTACACAACCACCCCTCAGTTTGAATTTTGAAATAGGGAAGGTGACTGACTTATACAGCAATTATTATAGTTGTACACTATATGCTAGATGAGAGTACGCAGGTTTGATTAATGAATTCCAAAATTGCCTTGTGCAATAATTTCTAATTAGCATATGGTTTACAACTGTATAAAAACTAGTGGTGTCCCCAGCAGGGGGAGGGGCACTTGCCACATCGTCGGACAGACTTGGACACCACCCCCCCCCCCTTTGTCGTTGGATGCCATGACGTGGTCATCGGATCAACAATTATAAAAACAATAACTTCCCCATTAAAATAAAGTTATTTTGATTGCGAATCCCTAATATCGTGGTCTAAAGGCACAATTTGGATCATATAAGCCATAAAAACTCTCCCAGTGAACCTACCAGCAATTTTTTTTATACTGGGACCCCGACCGAGGCTCTAGTCATCCCATTGCTTCAGACCCCTCCGTCAGTCATGCCAGACCCCTTGTCAGCAAACCTCTGGAGCCACCGCTGTATATAACTGAGTGTTAAAATGGTAATTTATTATACATAAGACTACCTGACTTATTCATGCAATGTCAGTATTATAATTTTGTAAGAAATTGGTTGTTCAATAGTTTTTTGATACAAATCATCAAGCACATTCTAATATGTAATCACAAATTATATTAAATAAGAATATATCTATAGCACTGCAGTGCTTTTGAAAGCTGCTTTATTGAGTAGAGCTTATTAGATTAGGTTATACACCTGGATCATAACCATATCAAATACCTGGTAGATACACGTAACACTAATACACCTTGATAATACACTACTGAACACAATACTAAACACTACTAAACACCTGGATGATACACTATTAAACACCTAAATGATACATTATTCAACACCTGAACAACACAATATCAAACAATTGGATGATACACTAACACCTGAATGATATGTACAACACTACACATCTGGATTGTATACATACGATACACATGCAAAACACCTGATGTTAAAATGTCAAACACCAATAATGCACGTATTAAAATTTCAAGAAGCAAAACACTGAATTACAATCAGGCCTGTGCAGGTTTCCAATTAGAGTGAGAGGCCTGGGGGAGAATAAGCCAAGTGGAGTCTCATATACTAAAGAGCATTCTAGTAAATGTTCAATTTCATTCATCATTTTGATATTGGTGATTTGAAGAGTGGTTTGGTTTATTATATGGGGCTCACTCATTTGGCTCCCTGGTTACGCCTGACAATAATAATAGAATGTTTAACACCAACATAATGAGTATGAAACTCATCAGCAAATTTTTGAAGATTCAAGAAACATTGACAACCAAACACTAGGTTCTACCTGCTGGCGGCCATGTTATATGACGTCGTCTTTCCAACACAATATTTGTTTGCTCTGTTATTAGGATCATGACTGCGCATGCGTGGGTTAGACAAATATGTAAATACAGAAAGGTAATATTAGTAAGCAGTAACAGATGCCAAGCACATGCTAACATTCTTCCATCACACAGCTTAAACATAATTTACACCTGGCTGTTACACATGCCAAACACCAGCATGATACACATATAATACACCTGGGTGTTAAACCTACTAAACACCTGGATGCACATTTTAGAGGTACACCTGGATGTACAAACAATATGTCAAACATATCTATATCATATGCTACATATAAACACCAAGATATACACATGTTGCATACTTAGATCCAAAAATTGGTTATTACACATTCAAACACTTGGATATTTGGCATGCTAAATATTGGGATAGTATTCACGCAAAACACCTGGATATTACACATGTCAAAGACAGAATCTTGATATACACATGCCAAACACATGGATATAATGTATATTAAACACCTGGTTATTAAATATGCCAACCACCTGGATATAACACATGTCAAACACCTGGTTATATACACATATTATACTTGGACACTAACATATTAAATCACTTTGACTTTACCAATGTCAAAAACCAGAATATTACACATGCCAAATTCTTGGATATTTTACATGTCAAACATCTGGATATACATGCAAGGATTTTACACATGTCACATGCCAAGATGACACACATTTCAAATACTAAATGTTACATCAAAGTAGACATTAACACAAATATAGGTTATCATGTATTATTTTGGTGAAATGGCATATTCTGTTAATTTAAATATTGTTACATATACAAAACTGATAATGTTAATCAATTTTATATGAGTTATAAAGCACATCAACGCAATGTACGTCATAAAAAGCAAAAGAATCTTGAAATGAGCCATTAAAATTTCAATCATGATAAAAAACAGAAAAAACAAGTAATTTATTTAATTTAACATAGCACCTAACAGTAACACTTTATGGTTAAAATCCACATATTGTTTGTAAAAGGTAAATAATAGGATGGTGATCACAGAAACTTTGTGAAGATGATTTAAGGTTCACCAGTGTTGTGTTATTGCATTATGGATGATGAATACAGGAACTGTGAAATAATCAGGGTAGAAATAGTGATGCAAGTTGATTGTGAAAACTAAAGTATGTGTACCAAGAAATATCTTAAGCTTAGTACATGTGGGTGAATAGTGAATGGGCTATTATTGTACCTTTCCCTGAGTGTCTCAATCAAACTTAACAGCTCACCATTTAGAACATGGCCAGAAATATGCGCATCTTACAAACACACGTGGTGTGCCACAAACGCATGTGTTTGCGTATGGTTTTACACCTAAGGTTTTGTGGGACCTTAGCAACAATATCCAAGGGGTGTGGCTTAGTGAAAACGTCCCTTGCAAAGATATTTTCAATACAAAATTTACGATTAAAGCACTAATACCAACTAGGATACCCGAGTAAACACATGCTGTGATGCTGGTAGTCTATGATGAGGTACCTAATATCTTGATGAACCGAATCATGTCAGTTAACTTTGCGGAAATTACCTAAAAAAATAATGGAACCTTCTAACCTAGGTGGCGAAATGACAAATCTGCATTATGTGGGCTCATTCCATGAAAGGAAACTGGCATATATCAGTTCATCCAGATAAGCATTTACAAAATAGACACTTTTATTGTATTTTGAACAATATGTTATGGGTACCAGGTGCAGTACAGAAGGGGTGCCATACTGACAGACACTAAACTGGTGGTTCTGAACTATCACCACAGTGAGCAACACGGACAGCCACTCACTTGATTGCCAAAAAGGAATCTGAAACTTCATTTGTGACCAAACCATTCAAGATGTGGTAAGGGTTAGCATCTGACAGGGGATGCTACCACTGCCAGTCATTGCAACAAACCAGAAGATCAAGAGGTCAGAAAATGCAAAAAACTTTAACAGGATCACCATAACAAGAGGTGGTGGTGACAAAGAGATATTGGGGGTGGGGGAACAAAAAAAAATAATCGGAAAGGGGTGAAAAAAAACAGGTCGGTAGCAGGTGAAAACTATAAATCACAGAATGGATAGAAACTAATGAGACATACAGAGTGGTGCAAACCCTGAAAAATTGGAAAGGTACGAAGAGGTGAAAAGGACCCCATTGAAAATAAGTGCATAAAGGAATTTCCTGGACTATTTTGGAATCTTATGTATGTTTTCTTTTAATCTTATGATTTCTTAATGTTTTTCTTAAGTCAGTTTTTGATAGTCACTGTATCAGATAATACATGCCCCATAATAGTTTTTCAATGTACTGTACAATATTGTAAAAGTGAATTTCATCGATACAAAAACCCAAGAACTGCATTAATCAGAAATAAAAAAATTAAAAAATGAGAAATAAAAAGTTGTAGTAGGTTAAAGGGGAACTAATAATTTCAAAGTTAAAAAGTAAAATGCTAAGGCAATAAATGATAATCAATGTGCATTGTAAAATAGAAAACAAACAAATATATACACCACGGGAAACACAGCTCTACTGAAAAGGAAGAAGGTGGACTAATGAGAAGTAACAGAGAGTTAAGGCAAACAGTAACAATTACATAAAGCTGAAAAAAAAAAAAATTTTCTAAAGAATCCAACACTACTAAAGTTAAAAGAAAAAAATAATATAATACAATGATAGGGAGTAATAAATGAAAATAGTAAAATGAGAAAAATTAAACACCAAAAACAAATGCAAAAAAAAAAAAAAAACTCTTGAAAAAATTATGATGCAGTGCAAACCCTGGAAAACAAAGAGAATATAATGGTGCTAACCTTGAAAAATACGGAGAAGTACATATCATGAATAATATGGAGAGGTGAAAACCTGCAAAACATGGAGCAGTGCAAGCCATGGAAATATGGAGTGGTGCAGTTAAACCATGGGAAATATGGAGTGGTGCAAACCATGGGAAATATGGAGCGGTTTAAACCATGGTAAATATGAAGTGGTGCCATTCATGGGAAATATGAAATGGTACAAACGATGGGAAATATGGAGTGGTGAAACAACCATGGGAAATAATATAGAGCGGTGCACACAATGGGGAATAATATAGAGCAGTGCAAACCATGGAAAATATGGAGTGGTGCAAACCATGGGAAATATGTAGCGGTGCAAACCATCGGAAAATATGAAGTGGTGTAAACCATGGGAAATATGGAGCGGTGCAAACCATAGGAAATATGGCTGGAGCGATGCAAAACCATGGGAAATATGGCCGGAGTGATGCAAAACCATGGGAAATATGGAGTGGTGCAAACCTAGACAATGAAGTGGTGAAGCCATTGCCTAATGTTCAGAAAAGAAGAATTCAGAAATTCTCTTAATGTGAATTCTGGCACTTAATATAGACATTTTCTAACTCAGAATTAGAATATATTGTACACTGATCGTAACCAACTATATTGGTTGTGACATTATTATGGCGAGACTTTTGTAATACCTTTAAGTTTCGCAATTTTACTTTTTTAAAGATAGTCAGAGGAGGGAGGAAAAAAAAAATTTTTTTGTTTTCTTTAATTTAGCAAATAGTTTTGCCAAAAACATCCAAATGAAGGAGAAAATAAAAATAAAATTGTATTGTCGAATGTAAACATTGTAGTAATGGTAGGGTCTGTCTCTTATACACATCTAGAGCAGCAGGCGCAATAAAAATACAGAAAAACATTAATTTTTTTCTGAAATTTCCATTCTTTTAGTGGTGGCAGTTACGCTAATTGGCCAAAAATAAAATTTTATATTTATTCCAAATCATCAGTATTGATGGCGGCGGGTTTCGCTAAACACGGCATAAAAAAGTCTCGCCTAATCATCAAAGATTTATAAGAAAATTGGTTATCGGTATCTTCTATTCAATCACATAAAAAATTCAATAAAATTGCAGCACAGGCTGAATTATTATTTGAATGTACAAAACAAATTACCAGTAGGCAAATTATTACTTTGCCATTAAAAACTGACGCTTGTTGTTCCTGACAATGTTGTTGCCTTGGTATCTATGGCAACATGTTGTTAATATGATAATGAATAGTTACAATAAAAACATTACTAGTGGCTGAAATACAGATATTCAAATAGATAAATTCGGCTGGTTCAAACCAATGCACCCCGATTCACAACTTAACAAAAGCAAAGTATTGAGAACATACCTTGAGTCAAATTGGATGAGATTGGTATCAACAGGTTCTGTATCTTGGTCCTTGGTATCTGAAACATTAAAGCAAGCATCACATCAATTAATTAAAACTTTATATTTTTTTACTTATATATAATAAAAATAATGTGTTAGACTTATATAGCGCTTAATGCCAACAAGACCTCTAAGCGCTTTACATTATTACCCCCGGTCATTGGATCAAGCACATATGGAACACATACTCAGCTCCCTGGGGAAAAATTCCATAATGTTGCAGCTGTAATAAGCGCATTTTGTGTTTGAAACTACCAGGTCTCTTTTTGCTGCTTTTTCCTTGTGTTTTTATTGTTGTAATCTGTTTATTTGTCTTTGTTGTTTGTGTGACTGTACTACTGTCATGCTTCAGGTTCCTGAATAATGACTGATTTTATGCCTGCCATTGTTTTCCTGAATTATTGAGGCTTGGCTTGCGCTTCATAACCGCAAGGGAAAGGCGCAATATAAATACCCAATACCAGTACCAGGTACCCACTTGTAATCCTGCCTAGAGAGACACAACCTTAAGTAAAGTGTCTTGCCTAAAGACACAAGTAAAATACACAGCAAAGGATTGAGCCACTGACTTCAAGGTTGAGAAGCGAAACTGCTGCGTCAAATTCTCATCCAACAACAAGTGATTAGACATTTACATGTTGGAAGTGATAGGCTAAAACTAAACCTTATTACGAGGCCTTAAATTTCAGTTTGAACTTAATAATACTCATTATAATCATTATGCTTTATTCTGCTTATATGAAACATAAATATTGTCTTCGGACATTTAATCTTTTGACTATATTTTTAATTTGTATAATATTAAATATAATAATAATATTATAATATTTAATATTAAATTAATGAATAAATGAACATTGAGTGAAGTATGAATATTGACAGAATAAGACAAAAAAAAACAGACAGCATTGGATTACATGTACACTAATTGCAATGAAATGAAGTCAGTCAATCCCAGGGTTCTGTTGTACATTTGAATCTTGAATTAAATCCAAGAAACCAATTTATGTTTACCTTGAGTCGCTGTCTCATCATTAGTGGCTGCTGCTGGAATTTCTGTTTCCTCCGGTGGCTTCGGGTGACTTAGGGTGAAAGGCAGCTCTACTGCCAAATCCCTTGAAAAATCAAAAACAAAATTACAAATTGTTCATATAGAGTAATAGTAAAGTCTAATTAATTTAAATGACAAATTCTTGATAAGCATTTAGATTTCACCTATGACATATGCATGCACATTTGAAACTACAAGATGAATGTACTGTAATAGGCCCTATAAAAAATATTATTAGTTTATCACCCTATCTGGGCAGGAAAAGTGATGAGGGAGGGAGGCTTTCTTTTTTTTTTTAATTTTTCATTTTGCTAAAGCCAAATATCACCCTTGTTGGGTTGTTTGCTGGTGCATTGATATTCAAAGTAAAACATGATAGATAGATAATGCAAACAATATCTACTTACTATTTAATAAAATAAATGAAAAAAATAAATAAAATACATTTTTTTTTTTTGCAAAAAAAATTTTTTTCCCAAAAAGAATTTTTATTTCCAGTACCATAGAAGACATTCGCGCGCGGGTGATAAACTAATATTTTTTTTAATTGGGCCTTGTATTAATGTTGATAAAAATATATTGGTAGGCATTGTAGATTAAGTAAAGACTGATGGCAGCTAAAGCTACATTTACACTAGACACGATAACGACACGACGACATATCATCGCGTCATTTATATTCTTCACCACTGAGCGTGTTTTTATCGTGTTGTATCGTGTTATTATCTTGTCTAGTGTAAATGCAGCTTAACAAATGTATATTAGAGTGGCAGTGGCCTTTTCAACTCAAGGCAAATGTGTATTACATCTCATCTTACACATGATCTGTATTAGCTTCCACTCAAATGGTGACCTTCCCCGGGACAATTTTTATCATGTTCTTTAAACTCAAAAACACTATCCATTACAGTCCATCATACATGTATACAATTTAATTTTGTTAATAGATAAAAATTATCAACATATCTGGTAATGAGGAGACCAGGACAAACCAAAGAAAACTAAAATTACTCATTGCAAGTGGGCCTATAGCCAAACAGGTATATACATGAAATAATAAATTAAGATACATTAAAATGAATGAAAATGAATATGAACCCTGTGTAGAAAGGGCATGTGATAGGAAAAACTACTGTAAATCTTAGGAGCAGTGGTGGATCTAAACATTTACCAAGAGAAGGGTCCAAAGAGGCCATCTATTTGTGTAGTAGTGTGCCGATATACTCTATGCTGTGTTAGTGGAATTTTTCTGTAAAATGGAATGTGTTTAACACATTCTACTTTACAGAAAAATAAAGGTTCATTTTAGTTCATTTCATTTGGCAGGCATGCTAAATACAGTGTGTTGACAGATGACTAGCGGCTGATAGCACCTTGTCCGATAATGGATTATGTTTAGAGTAAGTTTTCTGCAGTAAACTCAAGCTCCTATCAGGATCCTATTTTTAAATGTATTGTGATTTTTCAATATTGTTGGCCTTTTATAATTTAAAATGGTTTATGGTTAAATTTTTATATGTGTTTAATTTCAGAGATGATGTTTAATTTGTTGTAAATAATATTTTACTTAATCAAATTTATATGTGGTCTAATTTTGTATAGGTATTAATTAATTTATTTATTTGTTATTTGTTTAGGTATAAAAACATACAAATGCAGCCAGAGGCACAAGGCAGAAATGACTGAATTTAAAATGAACAATATATATATTTTTTTAAATGACACACATAAACAAAGCATTTTCACCAAAGAATGAAATTCAAACGTTATCTAATAAAGCTACAATAACATATTCACAAATGCAATTAAACAGTTATTGTCTGTTACTATTATTATTACAATAATATTTATGTTTGCGAGCTTGTAATTTCTTTGTTTTCTTGGCGACAATAAATTTTATCTTGACCCTTGAACCTATTTATCATTGATGGTTTGACAACTCACCCTCCATAGGCCACTACTAGTTTCACCTTAACCTTGTACTGTACAATTATTCCAAGATTTTCTTTATGACTTTCTTCTCGCAAACTGGAAAAAAAAACAACAAATATCATCACATTTATTCCCTCAAATTTAGTTCATAAGTTAATAAATATAGTATGCCAAGAAAAATTTAAAGAACACATAAATTATTTTAGAGTGGACAGTAGTTTGGTCTACAGCGTAGACAGTTTTAATATAGACACCCCTATAAGACCACATTAATACACACCACTTTTTGAGAAGACATACATCACAGAAATTGACAGTCTTACACCCATTCATCACAGTAATTGACAGTTTTTATTGCAACAGCACACTTCAAATCACTGTCGTCCATTGATCTTACCGTGTCATTAAATACTTTTAAGCCCTGTCTGAGACAACAACAACAATGTAAAGTCCAATCTCAAAAAAGCAAATTTGTATTGAAGTATTTGTATAAAAAAGTGTTGGCATATATTTTGAGAGTATAAGGTTGAGATGGGCTGATGGCATACAGGCCTATCCAAAGCTTACTGTGCAGCACAAAATTATGGAAGGATGTCATCAGAAGGGGTCACAACCATAGAGCTATTAAACAACTAGAGTGCTGACAAGATGGCGCAGCAATGCAGAGTTATGTATGTGTACCATCCAAGATAGCCGTCGTAGTAAAGCACCACCTGCAGGATTAGTATACATATTATTACATATTAATAAGCCCTCTGACTGACTATTATTTCATTAACGATAATGAGTAATGGTAATAACAAATTATTAAACTATTGTAGCCAAAACAAGGCCAAGTGGAGCATCTTATTCAAAAATAAATACCAAGAAATAAAAATTAAAATTGTGTACGTTACACCCAAACACCGCAACGCTCGAGTTTCAAGCATTCGGGTAACTAGCTATACTGAACTTTCTGAGTAAATTGAGGGCGCAATTGTAAACGATGGTGCTTAGCGAAATTTGATTGGCTAAATCTATGGCAGCCATCTTGGATGGTACACACACACAGTTCTGCGCATTTCGAACATCGAATACATTGCGGTTAGCGCTCTAGTATTCTTATTATATCTCTATGGTCACAACTGATCAGCTATGAACCAATCGACAAGAAGGATCGAGAACTATTTATCACTTTAACTTTTTTTTTTTTATAAAATCCTTGATATTAAAATATATCTTAACATTTAAATTGGGTGTAACTTGATATTGGTTCTATACTTGATATTGGTTGTGTATCTAATTCGTTGCTGTTATTTTTTTTATTGTAAAAATTGTATATTACTGTTAATTTTATTCACTTGTTTACATTGCAGTTAAGATATTTACTGTAGTGCCCCTGTCATCAGTCCACTTCACTTGAACACAAAATCAGGCCGACTTTCAGTGGTGGACTTGTACTCAGAAATCCACACTTCAAAATAAAATCGACAATCCTCTTTTAAATGGACAGCAGGCCGATATGCACATAATTTTCAGTGACAACAAATCAAAAGTAATTTTTCAAGTAAAATATGCATAATTTAAAGCCAAACTTTGATTGTTTTTTTCTGTAGGTGTTTGTAAAATTTGAGTGATTCAAGTCATACCCTGGTCTTTTTCTCTTAATACTTAAATGGGAATTAGACGATCGGGCTCAGGATGATCGGGCCCATTTTCAGGATGATCAGGCCCAATTTCAAAGTGGGCCTACTCGCCCTGAAAATGGGCCCGATGGTCTTCGGCTTAATCGTCTTGTGACCCGATCGTCTTAGGCAAAATTATTTCAGCCCAGGCCATGGCTGTTGTTTGTATTTGTTGATATGGAAATAAATAATAAAATTAATAAATATATGATTATTTTAATGACTCTTTTAAGAATTACATATTTGACATGATAGGTATTAAAATACATATATGTTAAATAATTTTGGAACGCAATAATAAATCAGAATGAAAGTGGGGCCAAAAGTCCACACTAAGTGGACCCGGTCATCTTGGCATGGGCCCGAACGTCCACACTAGCTGGGCCCAATCGTCTTGTGGGCCCGATCGTCTGTCACCCTTCAATGGGCAATAAAATAGGGGGTAAGCTTATACCAATGTGGGCTTATACCCGAGGAATTACAGTATATTTTTTTCAGTTAGCATTGCTTGTTAAATAATTCTTACATGGTTGAGGATGCCAGGTTCGTATCTTCATGTTTGAGCTTGCCGTCCAATGCTAGACCTCGCTTATCTCGGTTGTCATCCAGCAGCGGTGTAATGTAGAATACCTTGGAAAGTGTTTGGCTAGGTTTGATGGGTAAACCATCTGTTGCACTAAAAAGGAATAACCACTTTAAGTAAAACACTATAACAAATTAAATCACAACATAAAAAAGATAGATTAAAATAAGATAATTAAAATAAGGTACAATAAAATACGTTAAAATAATATATAAAGGTTTCACATTATGTATCTTAGAGAATTTTGCATCGCTGTTGATGTATCAAATTACAATGAAAACTAATTGTCTGCGCATTGGAAAAGGTCACTAGATAGAAGACATATATGAAATGCTTGATTTTAATATTATTATTATTACTATAGTTGAAATTCAATCAACAAGTACATGTACAATAATATTATGATGACAAGATAGCAATTTTATGATTGAATGGAGGTGAATTAAAACAAGATGAGTAAAGATAAATTACATTAAAATAACATAACTTCAATTAAATTATAAGATATATTTATCTCCAGATACCGGTAGGAGATATGATAGAGTAAAGTTATGCACAGACATAGGTTTGTCATGGCCGGTTTTATTGATGTTTAATTGGAGAGAGTATTGTGTTACAGTCTATTATGGGAGAAAATTATGTTATGATGAGATACAGAAATATTATATGGGGAAATAAAAGTCTTACGATAAGATATATAATGTTGATTTTTTTTTCCATTAGCCAACAGTAAACACATTTATATATTAAGCCCTATGATGAACATGTTTAATGTTGATATATAAAGATGTTTAATGAATACAATATAATATGCAAAATGTTATGATAAACATGCTTAATGTTATGATATATGTTTAATGTTACGATATAATATGTATAATGTTAGGATAAAAATGTTTAATATTATGATGATATATATGATGTTTAATGTTATGATATATTTATATACTATATATGGTATGTATTATGACATATTATGAGATGTTTAATATGATATTTGATGAAATAATTATTTCAGTGTTACATGATATAGAGGATGTTTTGTGTTAATAAGTGTCAAGACATCAAATGTATTTCACTCACGATTCCGTCTCAAATACAGCGACAGGACATTTATATTGTGCCGTTGAGAAAAGGCAAATATCAGCAAACTGACGTACAGCGATTCGTATCTTCTTCACTGTCTTATTGGAATTGTTGGTTATTTGAACATTAACTGCAATGCTTTCTCCATGGTAATACATCTAATAATATATTTTTAAAAATTATTACATAAGTTAAGAGGTGAATTGCCAATCTTGACCAAAATCTTTTGGCTAGCTAAAATTTTCATACACATATTGTATAGACATATGCCTATGGCAAACTATGGATAAATTGAACATTCATGCAATTCTTCAACTCAAGTTTATGGCTATTTGTAGGGACATGAGTAGTGCTGTGATTTACCAAAGGAAAGAGACATTAAATACAATACACAATCAATTTCGAAAGCAAATCTTGACTTTATAAGGCCAAATAAAATAAATTGCTTGTTTGCAATTCTTTTTCTTAAATATAATAAATAGGGGTGGGTGGAAAAATTTTTTTTTTTTAAATACTCATCAGATGGAATAGAAATAACCTACAGATGTCTAGAATGCCAATATCTTACATCAGACAACAACTTTAGACTAATTTGTAGAGATCTGGCAAAAAATAAAGATAAATTCACTCACATTTTTTTTAATTTGTAAAGAAAACTGCTAAAAAAACCTTTTTTTAAGTTTTTTTGTTTTTCCACCCCTATTTTTTTCAGTGAGTAAGGGGCGTGTGGAGGAGGGCAAACAAACAATTTTTTTTTTTTGGCTTAATCTAAGTTGAATTTCTGCATTTAGACAATACTATAACATATATGTATCATACATAAAAGGAAATATCCACCTTCACATAAATGATATCAGCAATTTTAAAAATTATACAGACTATTTATTGTGAAAACTAACAATTAAATGCAGAACACTAAACAATAACTGAAGTAAATACAAATAATGTAGAAATATATGTGAAAAGTGTTTTAAGGTCTTAGGTGTCTTTTGTTACAGATGTGCTGTCTGCTTTGAGCAAAAGAAATTTAAAATAAATTGTTTCCATATTGAAACTTTTAAATTTTGTACAATTAAGTTACTAATTAAAAATTCCTGAATGAGAAAAAATATCCCCAGTTAAATATACCTATTATATGCTCTATTTTTTTGCATATACCTCAAAATTGGCTTATTATATTCAATTTATGGATTTTTGTAGTAAAATGTCTGTTAATTATTAAGTCTGTGAAAGGCCGCTTTTTACAGTGGTTTCCTTTCTGTTTGTTGAACTTGAGGTGAGGACATTTTTGGCTGGCCATGCTTAGATACCCCAGCATGCATTGTTTGTGGGCTCAAGAGTGGTTCATGGGGTATGTTCCAGCAGTAGGTGCTAGAACTTCATTGCCTATAACTCAAAAAAAAGTTAACTCCTAGAAGTGTATTTTAGGCCTTGTTTGAGGTAAATTGAAAAAAAAGGTCAGCGAAAGCAAATTCCTTTAATCTGTTTCTGGTTGGAAATTTAAAACTGCAATTGAAGTTTTTAAGACTTTCAAGATTTTCTTGGCCGACAGTTCATTTTTTAAAGTATAAAAGGACACAACTTTAATGTACCTCTTTATCCAGGGAACATTCCAGGTGCAGGGGTGCTGGACTCATCATAAACTCTTTGCTATCTTCAGCCGTTGGCTGTGGCCCAGTCTTGTCCGGAGCATATGTTACCTTGCGAATTGCCAAATTTACAGAATTCCTCTTGTGTGGCTTATCATCTATTGTTTCTGTTGGATAAAAAGTGATTTTTATAAACAAGAGACATGAAGATTAGTTTACACTCACACAAATATTCAACATCCACATAAATAAAAAATAACAAAAAAGCAAGAGAATAAAACATCTTTTAAAAATTTGGTTTAAAATCTCTGTGCTGGGCTAATGATTCAACCTTAAAATTGCTTGTATATTTTATAAATATATTGTAAGAATTTTGATAATTGATAAATTCTTACACTGCTGCAAGAATTTATCAATCAATATTTTGGTATGTTATACGATTCCAGTAGAAAATTAGAACAAGAAACGTTTTCCAGCCAATTAAAAGTTAATATAATTTCTATATTCATTGGCACAGGCGTTGTAATTGGATGCTTATCAATTTAGAGATTTTTGAAGCATGTACATTAAGTCCTATAAAGACTACCAAATGTTATTTGACAAAAACATGTGACATGCCTATATATGGTCATGATGACATCACATCATCACCATATATAGGCACATCATAACTATATATGGCCATACAACAGTTTGGACAGAGCTTAAATCTGTAAAAACTCAATATTTCCAATCTGTGTCTCACTGGGAGCTTATAACTTACAGTAATAAAAATATTTTTAAACTATAAAAAAATAGTATTATAATAAACTATAAGAATAGAGAACAGAATTTTCTGGTCTCTCTCAAATCATAATCATCATCTGCTTTGCGGCTGTCCCGAGGCAAAACAACATAACTCACTTTTTGGTTGATTTTGTGATAATATCATTTGGGAGTATATTAAATAAACACTTCTGAATAACCTGTGAAAATTTCAAGTCTCAACAACTACAGTAGTCGTTTCAGAGTTAGCTTCTTTTTAAGCACTTTAAATCTCATGATTTTCAGTGGTAAAACAACGTAACTGCAAGATTACGTATCTACGATGAAGATACTCTACTTTGTTTTGCCTCAGAATGGTAATCAAAAATTGTTTTTAGCTGATGGAGTTTGGCTCAGCAATATCAACCGGTTGATGGTGTTTTCATATCACTAGTCTTAACAATGATGTATGCACAACCAGATAATGCATATGACTACCCCAAATGTGATACATTTTTAAAAAGTGTCTCACTTGTGATAATACCGCACATAACAAGTTTACGAGGTAAAACAATGTATCTGTGAATATTGTTAACTTTGCAATAAACCAACGTTTACAATACATAATGTCTATAGATGTATGGTCCTACAAAAAATTCATAAGTGTACAACAATTTATTGCCAAGTTGCGAACATGCAAAGTGAAACTCTATTTTTCGCAAAAAGGGAAAATTTCAAGTTATGTTGTTTTGCCGTATGCTGTTTTATATTGGGTAGACATTATGTACGCTAATTGTTTCCATGACTTTCTTTCAGTAGTCTGGTGGTCTGTCATAGCTTTTCAACAAATGTATTACATCTTTAAGTATTTTATTGCTTAAATATGTAGGATATATGTCAATTGATATGATCAGACAATGACTACCTGATGGACTCAAGATACAATACAACAATTTTTTTAATTCTAAGTTCACTATCCAAGATTGCTAAAAAAACCCAATCATCCCCTACACCCATTCCTTCCTCTTTGCTGTAATAGTTCCATCTCTCTTAAAAACTCCCGCCACACCCACTTTCTTCCAATTTCTGTTCGCTTATTAAGGTTCTTATCATCTTTCTTTCCTCATGCAATTAAAATTGCTAATGACTTAACCATTGACCATTTGTTTAAAATTAAACCAGGCATTCTAAATCAGTAATGCAAGGTTATGATTTTGATTGTCTTTATATGCATTGTTAATGAAGTGGGTAATAGCCCTTGATGGCTTACGAAACTTTAAAAACTTTGAATCTACAAGTAACAAGTAACTGAATTCGAAAAAAATAATAACTTGCTGTAAGTGCTTTCCATGAAAGGTAATGGAGTGAAATATGAGAAACAATATCTAAGGAGTACTCTACATAATATGTACTGTTTAATCAACATCTACTTTTCTGCTATAAAACAGAATCAGCGGTACTTTGTGTCAATACCAGCATTAAAAAAATTTGTTTTAGTTTTGTGCATACCGGTATACAAACTGTAATTGTGGTTATGCATTCCTCTTACAGATACAAAAACATTTATATCATTTATTACTAGACGTAAAACGGATGCATCTGTTTTTGAGGAGTGATTAGAATTCTAAAACAAACATGCATCAATGACTCAATGTTATTGGTGGCTGCTATTATATTTCCATATAAACCTTTCAAAAAGACCAAAAAGAGTAATTTCTTTTTCCATTAATCTAAATGAATATTCATTGATTTTCATACCACTGTTACACATTATTGATTGCTGCACTAAGATAAAATAAAACATAGTGGATTTTTATTAAGATTGCAAATAAAAAACAGCAATGCACGTTTTTCAGAGAAATAGTACAAGCAGCAATAATCTGTGCAATATGCGTAAAGCAATTCATCTTCATTCTCTTGCTTGCAATATTGAATTGTGTTTGTAACATACATACTCTCAATCTCCAGAATTGGTTCTTGGAAATAAATTAATAAAAATGAACCTAATAAAGTTTGAAATAATGAATTACAAGCTCAGCTTTTTCTTGAGGTAATGAACCAATGATTTTATATTAATAAAATACGTTCACCAAACAATGATACAATATTAATATAAAACTTTCAATAACAACAATGGCTGAAAAGACAGTAGTAATTTAATTTTTCCATGGAACCATGCATCTTGCTTAGAAATTGCTACTAAAAAAAAAAATTAAAATAATAACAAATTTCAATGAAAAAAATAAAAATGTGAAAATAAAAATTTATTTTATATTTATACACTGAAGATATCATAGTGAATACGAAGAAATATATCTAATCTTATTAAAAGTATTTTTGTCGCTCTTATATTTGTCTTTATTTTACATTCTGTTCAGAAGATTGGCTGTAAATATGACTTTACACAGACCACAAAGCAAGACCTTAGACTGGGAAACTCAACAAGAAGGTGGAAAAAAACTGATGCAGACATAAACTTTCATAGAAATTGCAGAATTTTGTGGTGTTTTTCCTAAATTTATTGCACAAAAATAAAATAAAAATCAAAATAGTAAAAAATTGGTTTGGAGTAAACAAGACATTGTGTTTCAAATAAATGACTTACCTGCAACATATGTTTTCAGTTCATAGTCAACCCCACATGGTTTACCAGTATCCCCTGGGGCAGGTTGCAATGTAACAGATGACGGGGAATTCTGTGGTAACTGTCGATGATAATTTTAATAAGTTTTTATTGGAACCAAATCAGATTCAAATTGAATAAATTGAAATGAAATCAATATACTACAATACAGTAGAGCTTTGAAATACTAAAAAGAAAATAAAAGATTATTATTATTATTATTTTAATTTATCACTCCCATTCTAGTTTCAATTTCAACGTGATTTCACATGTGGTATTTCTAATCTCATGTTATTACAACTTTTTCTTATTTCTTTTCTTTTTTTTTTTTTAGAATCCGAATTTATATGGCACCTATTACAAACCGAAGAACATACACGGCACTGGCATCAATATTTCCCTTGTCACCGGATACAAAGTTGGCAAACCAGCACATTTTTATGCAACTTTCTCTGCTCCCTGGGGAATATCCAGAGTAATGCTGCTTTACACGCACAACCTAATACGTTCAATGCCACACCATCCTACCAGGTACCCATTTATACTCCTGAGCAGAGGGATACAAACATAAGTAAATTGCCTTGCCCAAGGGCACAAGCAATGCGATGGGCGTCGATCTCCAAGTCCCGATCTCACGATCACAAGTCCAATACCTTACACGCTGCACCACACACGCTTACACTACCTGTGGCAGACCTAATCTCATATGATTTGAGATATGGTTAAACCTAATGTCAGTGTTGCAGGATTTTTTTTCTCATGACCAAAACAACTCCACTCCCTAAACCTCATATTGATATTTAGTTTGTGTAAAGCAGCATGTGTGTATGTTTGTCTTGTGAAAGGGAATGTCACCTACAAGGAGGACGGTGATATATTCGCCACTGACAATCTTTAGTGCATGTGTTGTAAATAAATAAAATAAATAAATGATTTCACCTGTGGTAAATCTAATCTAATGTCATAATTTAATGTAATTTTATTTGTGGTAGATCTAATCTCACCTAATTTCACCAGCATTAAACTTAATCTCATAATCTCCAATGTTGTAGGCCTGATCTCACATTTGGAAGATCTGATTACACCTGAGGTAGACCCTATATTTATGATACAGATAATCTCACTTTTGTAGGTTCAATCTCACATTTGGTGGGCCAGGTCTTACCAGTAGCAGACCTGAGCTCATCTGTCATATATCCTACCTGGAAACAAAATGGGTAAGCATTGGAGCCTAGCTTCTTGATCAATCGTTCTTGTAGACGTGTCAATGGTTTTTGTTCATCTGGAATCGGGGGGTACACCTGCATGGAGGCTAAGAATAAATCTTTGCGGAATGTGAGACCGAGAACATCAAGGTCTTCCCTTCCATATCGAAACGCAGCCAACACATGGGCAAACACTTTGCGGTCTTTTAAATATTCATGATCCACAAGCACCACACCATCTGCAATAAAAATCTAGCATCATTTTCCTTTGATCCTTTAGGTCTATGTTGACCTATGACAACACTTTGAATCAATAACAATAATCAACAATAACATTTTACAAATTTAGAATTTTAATAGATTAGGAAAACAAACAAAAAATGTCTTCACTAATAACGAATGAATTTTCTGGTTTCGTAACAATATTGTAATAATTTTCTTTTTTTTTAAACCAAAGTTTGTTTCTGGTTTAACGAAAAAGAATAACTATTAAAAAATTGTAATATAACCATCTATTATCATCTGTCATCTACTTTGTGGCATCTATTTTTGTGTTTAATATTTATATAAAATTTCATTTGAAATTATTGTTGGAGATAGTAAATTTGAAAATAAACAAATTGAAAATAAATACTTATCATTTGCATTGCAGTCCATTTAATTTTCTTTAAAAATATACATAAATCACCAAAAAACTGAATCGTTTCAATATTTGTCTCAATAGAAAGTTACTATTTGATACTTTAAAATCAACAATTCAACATTTTAATTTTTTTTTTTATTTATAAAATTTTAACAAAAATAATGAGGTTTTGTTTGCAATACTATTACTATTTTTTTTTTACTGAAAACCAAAATTTAAAAGGCACCTTGCCAGAAATATTTGAATGACACAAATTCAGTACAAACGTATGTACAGTTTTTGAGTTGATGTGTTTACAAACCCCTCCAAGACAAGCATACATATATGCACAATGTAATACTTAACACAGGTCAGGTAGGTCACGATCATAAGGATTATATTTGTTATTGCAGCATACAGTAGTAATAAAAAGAATCAAGAATCATAGATTGTGCGACTTACCGACAGGATCAATGTGTGTTAAGTGGTCAACGAAGTCTCTTTTACCCAGATATGTCGTTATCTGAAAAATACATAATGCACTTTTTATCATAAATATTCACCTTAATATATTTTCATCTTTGTGTAATTGTATAATTTGTATGATTAATAGTTATAATCCATATTGCTGCTTGTTAACCATCTTGTTTTACGATTGATTACTGTCAGTACGGAAATACATAAATAATTCAGATTACGATTGCAACAACGTGGGAATCATTTGTTAACGTGTAAACAAGTCAGCTGCTTAATGTTACCAGAATGTCAATCTCAAGCAAGGTTCTCATTTGCATATTAATGATAGATAATAATATTATGTGTGTTTGCTATAGCGGCCTATATACATATCTCAGAGCAATACTTTACATTATAACATGAAACCAATGAAGGCCTAAATTCTGAATATTATTGAGATTGAATTAAAATCATTATAATTGGATTACTGTTCGAGACAGTGGCTTTAATAATTACTTGAATTGGCGCATTATGGATTTTGTCGACCATTATCAATTAATCATAATTATCTATTGTATTGAATTGGAATCTGAACGCTTGGCTCCTTGAATAACCGTCACATTGAGAGTTAGGCGTGTTAAAGACAATGTCTGTATCCGTACGTGTCTGTTACATGTTGTATTTAAGTCGGGCAGTGCTGCACAATTTCAATGAGGACAAATAAAGAATCATTACTGTTATTATTAGTATTATATCAAGAAACCAATGAAGCAAACAAACTCTGAATATTATTGTTATTGAATTGAAATCATTTTAATTTGGATTACCGTTCACTGGGCAGACTTAATAACTACCTGAATCGGCGCATTTTCAATTATTAATCATTTCCTCAATCAATAATTAATCAATTTCATCAATCATTATCAAATGATTATAATTATTTATTGTATTTAAAAATAAATTGAATTATTTCTAATGTTATCATTACAACCCAAACAATTAAATCCTGGCAATTTGCTGCGACCCACATATTTCCCGACCGACAGTCAAGATGGGTCATTACTGCTATGTATAACTGCTGAAATATATGAGTAAATGAATAAATTTAAAAAGAACTGCATATATAATTTAATAAAATATATAGAAATAAATGAAATACATAAATGTATCAACAGTTCTGAATTCTACTTTTAAATGTGATGTAGATAATGTAACATTTTTTAATGCTATAGTGGCGAAAAATACCCACATTAGAACATGATTATTACCCATATACAAGCACATCTCAATGGGCCAATCAGCTGTTCGTAGCAGCGTAATTAGAACCATGAAATACTTGAATCTCAGGGCTGAACCATACCATGAACTACTTTTACAGCCCACCAACAAAATGAGCTGGGGTATCTAAAGCTGACTGGCTAAGAATGGTCAGTTTGTGGTTTGAACTCGTAGCCACAAGATTCATAACCGGAATGAAAACAGCTGCAACAAACCGTCTCCCCCTTTCTCAGGTCAGGATTATGTGATGCAGGTGACTTCCTGGGGTATATTCTAGTCATATGACTTCCCTTGGATAGCCAATGGTACTTATTAGGGGTATATATTAGTCATGTGACTTTCTTTTAATTCTTTTAATTTTTAATGTTTTATTGTACTGTTAACAAATATTTTATGAATGTCTAGTGACTGTATATTGTATTTATGCACCCTGTATATTGGCATTCACGCTGTTGGGTGAAATAAAATAAAATAAAATAAATAAATATAATATCACAGGCTTTATACATGCATTATGTAATATCTGGTTTTAAACACAAAAACACTTACTGTACCTTGCCATTAGGACTACTTTTCTTGAAAACTCTGAGGGAAAAAATGGAATATAATTTATTTAAATATTTATAAACTTATTGTAATATTATTCTATGGAAATTAATAATATTTATTACTTTTACTTTTTAATCAATTTAAAAATACCATAACAATACAAACTATTTTCCCCACATTATTTTTTTTAAAATTAATGAACAACAATTGACAATTGGTGTACATACAGTAACATTAATAACACTCAAAAAGCCAAGAACATATGTGTTGTACTCTACAACAATCGATTGTTCTAAAACAGTGAAAGGGTGTCTGATAAAAAACTTGGTTATACAGGTTGTTGAACATTTAAAAACTGGGGGAAAAAAGGATGTAATCCACAATTTTGAAAAACGTTATTATATACCTTCTCCCGCCTATCTCTCATGCAATGGTTTTTTGAGGAACCGAGCAACAAGACTCCAATTAAAACCTGACAATAGCAGGATTTAAACCAACACAAGAATCATTATATAAAACATTATTCACTGCAATATGCTATTAGCAAATATATGCCTATACAAATATTTCAGCAGCTATGTTTGCTGTTAAATAATCATTATGCAAGTTACATAATGAAATTGAGTGTTAGAGCAAGCAGAATTAAATCAATCAATAATGAAAGGATATGGTACAAAATTATGAATCTTGTTAACATGTATCAGAAAAGTACACTGAAGGGTTTGTGGTTCGATCTCTGCACGGGATGGCGGCAGTGTGGGGCTAGATAGTATTTTTACATTTTTACATATTTGCAGACTCGAAAATAGTTTAAATAAGCCTTTGAAACCCCTAAATTGTCTAGTTTTGTGGTGACTATGTATGCCAACTGGATCAATTCCGAAAGATTTTGAGTGTTACCCGACCTCGTTGAGGAGTCAGACCCACCGTCGGGCAAATCCTAGCTCCACCCCTTGTCCCTGCAACAAGTCCTATTTTTATTTTCTTTTACTCCTTTAATCAATTATTCAAATACACCATTTCACTTAAGCTTAGTAAACACAAGTATGATAATATTCTGAAACTAGAAGATGACGGCCTTGAATGAAGGATTCCCTGATATTAACTTGAAGATGTGTCCAAATCCAATTTAATAACCTGACTATTTTTCCTTTATTATTATGCGATATCAGCTCTAATTTCTCACTGCATTAATTGCTTCATATTAACTGACCATGTGAAGACTTAAGTGAGTTTTATATGCTTCTATTTGGAGATCCACCAACACGCTATGCTTCTTGTTGTACATATAGAGTACAGTTAGTTGCTGGTTGTATTAATCAATATTTCTCCTTCATTTTATTATCATATGAATTATATATTAACAGGCTTAACATTAGGTTTTTTATTTCTTTGTAGCACAAATACCATACTGGTATATTTTTTAATTGATTTGTTAATTTTAGGTAGGGTCTCATAAGAAAATTCACAAACCTACTAAAAATACTATGAAATCCAAAAGTGTGACCCAAGTGGTGCCTAGAAAACAATTTTACATAATATGATAACATTACAATAATGTTGCAGATTGGTACTCAAAACACTCATTTGCAGGACCATATGTATTAACATAATTGCTGACTATATATTATTTTCTAATATAAATTAACCACAATGTTCACAACATTCAAGGATGGTATACAAACACTTTGGGTACATGTTGATACAAGTGCAGACCGTATGTGTCAAATTTAAAAGAAAAATAATTTAAGTTTGCAGTAAATGTTGTATCAAGGAAGTGTCCTGTTTAACAAAAGAAAACATTCACGTCGCGACCCTGCTCCTACTACCGTAAATCCGTTCAACACTATTCATGAACATTGTAATCGTATCATTGAGTTTTAGAACTTAACCAACATCTCAATAAAGTATGAACTTGTGTATGGACTCAATAAGAAGCATAACACAAACAAGAATAATAACCTTATTCAGAGCATCCCATTGTGATTTCTGAATTCCCATACCTTCTTGTTCGCTTCAAAATTTTATGTGCGTTCGTTTGATTTCACTTTACTCATTAAAAATCAATTTATCAGCAGAACCATAACCTTAGTCTTTTTGTGAATTTATTTGATGCCTCTGTAATAGTCAAAAATTATGAGTTTGCCCTCTGAGAAAGTACAGAGATATATTCTGCAGCCTTATTAGTTAATAGTTCACTCACTCAATCGTTCACTTACTCGCTAAGTAACTCATTCTTTACTCTCATTACATATTCATTCAATTAATGTATTCATCTTTATACTCTGGTGCATATGTTTAGTATAGATCTAAGACCTGGGATGTAGTCAAAACTCTCATTTATAACACTCTAAAATTTTATGTCCAGACTCTGAGTGAAGTAATGGTCTATATAAATTAAAAAGATCTAGTTTTGGCTTGAAGCCAATTCATCAATCGTCTTTCATTTTTGATCAGTAGATACTGCCATGCAAACCTTATAATCCTTTTACGCTCCTGGATAACTTCCGAGAGAATTTTTGAGCGACGCACGACTGCGCCCAATTACGTCCCCGTTTATACTGCCATATGATAATCCTAATAAAAAAAAACTTAAAATTCCACAAAAACAAATCAATCACTTAGTTCAAAAATTTTAATAAATTTAAAAATTGGAAGAAAAAAAATCATCACGCTACCTTGTAAAACTGTCCCATAGTGGTTCACAATAATGACACACACCATGCACGAATCACACAGCGCGAACATTTTTTAGTATTGTGGGAAGAACTGGCTTGAAACTGCTCGCATTGGATGTTTCAAGCCAGCTGTCCTACCAAGTTTCAGATACAACATATCATTTTGATGTTACCTGTTTATTAAAAGGAAAATACTAAACAAAGGGGTAGGAGTAGGTTTAAATAACTGTTTCTTGCAAGTATGCTGTTCTGGGCACACATATTGCACTTGTTTACAGAGTGGGGTTAATCTAGTCACTCTCATATCCTTAGTCAAGCCACAAAACCATTCCAATAGAGTTTGCAAATTAGGGCTAATGAGCTGTATTACATTTTTGAAAGTTGCATACTTTACACAGCCAACACACAGTGCAAAACTACAACAGTTATATAGTTTATAATCTTGTTTAAAAGCTCTTATTAGTTTATTTTTATTTATTTTATTTTATAATAGTTTGGGCATACGAATACAATAACATTTCAAAACATTACATTAAAAAACAAACATTGAAAAAAAATAGCCAAAAAGAAAGAGAAAAGACCAACTGCCATAACCTAGGAGAGACAAAATAGCGCTTGCTATTGTCCTTCCCAACAACACAACTATTAAACAAACAAATATGTCAATGTAATTATACATTTGAAAGATATAAACAAGTGATGAATTTCTGAAACAAAATACAATTTCTGAAACATGTGATGATAATTTTCTTTAAGTTTACTTAATAGATAAGCACATTTTTTGTTTTTATTGACATTAATCAAACGCAGTTTTGTTGAGAGCTGGTCAGGTCTGAACCAATGGTGGCGCCAGAGGGGGCTGAGGGGGGCTATAGGTCCACTCGCCTAGCGCCCCCGTCGAGGCATTTAATTTCCACTGTCATGCAGATCCTGGCTACAAAGATGGGTGGGGGCCATGTAATTAGCTTTAGATTGGGTATACCGCAATACTTGATGGCCCTGCCCACCTCCACCCATCATACATCCTTGCCCCTATTAAGGGGACACCTTTGGTACCGAAGAAAATGTTCCCTCAATAGGGGTTGGCCATAATGGTAAAAGATACATATCCCTCACTCCACGGCCCAATAAAGTCTCCCCTTCACAGGGGTGTCCCAAAGGAGAGGTTCTGCTATAGGCCTATTAACTTACTAACCTGCTCATTATTGTGTTTAATCCAGATTTTCTTCTTGTTTTGTACCTAGTCAGAAGCTGACTGTAATGTTTAGCTGAAAGCCATTCAAGAACTGTTGCTCTCAAACACAAGTAATATCCAATCCATTGTTACAGTGGCTCTATCACAACTACCATTGTTGCACCATAGCAACAGAATATTCATTGCTTTCTTAATCATAATTATAATGCGGAATTGGTAAATAATATATAGCCTGCGATGTACAGTACACATACATAGACTGTGTTCAACTATAATATAAGGATCTGTCTTACAGTCGTTAAGAATAATTATTTCTTCTTACACACATTACGCTGGTCATAAACTGAATCTAAACCTTACCATATTATTGTATGAAGAGTAATATAGCATTGGCACTGGTAAAGGTTACACTTTATTTACATACGCATTTGATTTTAATGTCGGAAAAAACCAGCCAACATTTCAAATTGCACATGCGTAACACTTGGCAGTGGACAGGAACTCAAAAGTTCTACCATCATTTAAATATTTGACTCCACCTCCTCCAAATACCAACTGAAAATCAAGGCAGTATTACACATATAATATGGGGACAGCCCTCTGTCAACAAACAACTCTACCATGTTAATTTACCTTTCTCATTTTAATTCAGATCTTTCTTTTTTTTTATTATTATTCTATCTTGACTTTAAATTTATTCATATACTGTTTTGTCAATACAATCACATGTAGTACTACTTGTCACTACACGTCAATCTCCAGACTAATGATGGCAGTTGCTGAAACATATTTGTTTTTGAATGGGCCTAGCAATGGCTATGGCATTTGATTTTAATTTTATTTGATATAAATAACAAAATACACAGACATAAACACAAGTAAATTTACATGAACAACCAATACTGTAGAAGATACTGGAGATGAACAAAGTCCCTGCAAAGAAACTTCCAGAGGGGTCACTATCGTAAACATCATGTTTGGTTCCAGTTGTTTTAAAATTTCAAATAAAAACTTGACAAGTAAATACAGCAAAGATAACAATCTAAATCGAGAATATGGTGATGAGATTTACATAGATTAATAATAAAATCAGGGTCTGTGATAAAATAAATAAATTTATGATGTAAACAATATACAATAAAATAGAATAATTGAAGTTGCAA